AGACAACCGTAAAACTGAACTCGTCACGGATATGCGAGTTACCTGCTCACAGGGTGTGTATCATCATTGAAAGTGTATTAATTTCATATCAAGTTGTGCACACCTGCGTGTAATACCATGATGTCGTGTACTTACGGTAAAATGAATATCACACCACCACCACCCTATAGTAATATTGTAAGCACAGTTTTGTAGGAAGCGAGTGTGCGTGTACCACATAAGTTACGCCGGCCGGTCAGTCGCACACGCATGAACGAACCTCGATGCTTGGAAAATATTCAAGTATGAAAAAAAAAAAAAAAAAAAATCAACACCACTGTCCGTTTGTATCAAAAGAGCCCGGAAAGGGTGTTCCCTTGGGCGTATAATGTCATGGCGGAGCACACCACACGTACGCAATAAATTTGTACATTCTGCTCGCGTAATGCGTACACGGAGAGCTTCCGATCGCCCATTGGAGACGACCGGGTACTAGCTTTCAATTTGCATACACAGATATCGAGCGGCCACACAGGTATACAATATCATAGATTTGGATCTGTCATGTACACACCATTGAATTCTACGAAGCTGATTTGCACATTTTTGTTGTTCATACGTATCTCTGCTCTGCGCTCGATGAGCGCGTTTTTTCCTTCTCCTCAGCACTTGCAGGTAAGTAGACTTTTATTCTTTCCGTCGTCGAGGCGGAAGCCAACGAGTTGAGTGCGCGACAAAAACCTATACCGAGGTATAGGTAATTGCAGGTACGCGTTTATAGGTATATTCGATACTGTACATCTAACTGTTTGTTGAGCTACGGTATATGTACGTATAATTATTATCTTACATGGTACCATGGAAGAATAATTACAAGAGTACACATTTTTTAACTTTATAAAACTGTTATCTTTGCCTCGTTACAACGTTAGCACGATTAAACGCTAATACGATCCTTTTTTTTTTTTAATCCTGCGAGAAAACTTTCCAACGAAAGAAATAAATTGTAAAAAAAATTAGAAAAGATTTAATTAATTAATTGTTTTAATTATTACACATACACATGCATACATCAGATAACATTGTATTCTCCATACAGAATATAAATCAGACCTTTTTTTCCTCCCAATTATACCAAGAACACAATAGTCGCGCCGGAACTACTTTTTTTTATATTTTGCATGAAATTAATTATCTGCGAGTATACGGTATTAAAATTGATTTTGGTCACATGGTTGTACCATCGATCTTTTGGAGTAGTATATTTTTGTTTTCTCACGAACGCCATTGTAACCTTGACTCTCGTGAGATAACAAATGGAGATAGTTGTCGAATAGCCAGAGACGCTGCGCCAAGATAAATCGGAGCTTTTCCGTCGCTGTTATCCAACAGTGTGCATTCAATGCCTCGTAAATTTTACTATTCGCTAGATAATCGCGTGGTAAATATACGCTTCGGTCTCATCATCTGCCTTGTAAGTCGATAACGATCATGGGCACCACATTATATATTATTATTATTATTGTTGAACGAACCCAAGCTTTATTAAAACACCGAGAAAAATATATAAACATCAAGCCTGTATACGTTAAACACCAGTACGAGAGTGCAGCAAAACGAAAATTGTTGGAAAAAAAAAAAAAAAAAAAAAATTACAGAGTAGTCAGGGAGAGAGAAAAAAAATAGATACATCCCGAGCTGCTGGAAGTCGCGGTAGTCGGGCGCGCGGAATCACGGGCCGGTGGATGCGGAAAAGTGTAATATATAGGTATGGGTATAGTCGTGGGTAGTGGCCATCCGACTCTTCTGCAATACTATATAAAACATGTACCGCTGCTGATGTTTTGCGTCGTGTCGCCGTGCAATTACGCACACACACACTGACACAATGGCGACGCGGAGGGAACGTTTTTTTTTGCACGACTATCTATGTAAGTATGGACACAAACGGACAAGTCACGGGTATAAGAATCACCGCGTAAACACGTGTAAGTAGCCTGCGGAAGAAAAAAAAAAAAAAAAAAAGAAAGAAAAAACTTGGGAGAAAGTTTCTCTCTGCAACGCGATTTGCGCGAAAAATAATGTGATTACAGGAGCCGCATGTATTTATAGGTTTAACGAGTGTAAAATTCAACGAACTCTCGTTCTTTCTTCCTTTCCACGGGAGTGGTTATATGTATATGCATATACATATTTTTTTTCTTCTCACTGCGAAATTGCGCGCGTACGCATATTATAAACTACAAGGCACGCAATTTTCAGCGCGTGTGTTCGGGAAAGCGCGCGCATTACATATATATCACATCGGGGATGGGGAGGGAAGAGGCAAAAAAGAGGAGGATTGCCTATGTGCATATTGGTTTTCGCATTGCGACAATATAATATAAGAGAGAACAAAACGAAATGAAGAGTACAGATGAGAGATAATGTATATATATATGCAGAGCCGTCACGGAAGAGCAGAGCGAGAAATCGGCTCTTGCGTGTAAAAGTATCGAGGTGTGTGTGGGTTTTATGTTTTTGTACAAGTTTGTCGGATGCGTGATCATGCGCTCATCTTTTTTCTTCTTCTACTGTTTTTAAACGATAAACGAGGATATTATGAAAACGAGGGGCTAAAAAACACTGGAAGGTTAAACTCTGCGACGGATTTCGAGCTACCTAAAGTTAAATGATACGTATAAGGTGCGCTTCTGTTTTTTAACAATAAAAGAAAAACTCGTTGGTCATACGATGGAAAGAAAGGGCGGAGGAGTCACCGGTGAATTTAAATATAGACCGTGACAAGGCTGCGACGTTTTTAGTGGTGGGTCTCACGTTGAGTGTGCAAGAATCATCGCCCAGCGATTCGTGAAAGGGGTCCTTTGATTTTTTTTTTTTTTCCCTCTCGGCTGATGCGCTCGTCTCCATACACTTTGTTCCAAAAGAGAGTACGCGATTGTTGACATTGTACTTCATAGTGCAAACGAATAAATGTGTCACGTTGTTGCATTTTACACGTGCGCGTACATAATATTATTAGGTAGGTATAGCGTTTGAATTTTTTACGCTTTTGGCATCATGTTGCAGGGGATCTTTTCCCTGTACTAGCGTCGCTGTGAATGAGCATCGATTTTTCTACGACCGAGTCCATTCCGCACGTTTCAAGGTCCTTTCATCATCGACGCGGACAAAAAATGTATGAAAATTCATCGGTATTCATATAAATGTCAAACTAAAAAAATAATACCAATGATTTATGCATTTTTTACTAGAAGGGGAGCTAGTGGTCATGAATTACTTTTTTTCGAAATAAAATTGGATAACTTTATTTTTAAGATGAAATATAGTGGTTTCTTGAAAGTTATTTGGGGTACGACTGTACCCCTGAAATCGAGAAGAAAAGTCTTGTCAAGAGAGAGCGAGAGAGAGAGAAGAGGAGGAAACAGAGATGTAAACAAGTTAAAAATAAACATAAGCTCGTCATATTTATATTTTATACTTCATAAATTTTGTAAATCCCATTAAAACACATCATTAGCAAGCATTTTTGAGGAGATCAACGTTTAATATTCAGCCTGTAGTCCAACTATTAGCGCCTTTCAATATAAACCTTCGGATGCACTATAAAGTTATTATTATTTTAACGATGTCAGGAGTAGTAAACAAGTGAAAAACGAATCAAACAAAAGTATGAAAAAAAAAAATAATAAATAAATAAATGAAATAAATATACGTAAGAGTGATAAATAAAAGAGAAGTGTCAAAAAATTAGATGGAAATTTTAGATTGCAAAAGTAAATTTGAAAACCAAGCGCTGAAAAGATCAAGGCCAAAGTCATTATCGAAAAAAAAGAAGCAAAAGTAGGAAGACGCATACATACACACACCAAGATGTTCTGAGAGCCAAAACGTTCAAGTCAATATTATTGATTCAGAATTCATTTTTTTTTCCCTCGAGTGACCTGCTAACTTTTAAAAGAAACAAGTTTTACATGGTATCGCGTCACGTTTGGATTCAGTACACAGCGATCCATCAAAAGACTTATCGTTTCTATTATTATCGAGTAAAAAATACGGTTGAGCATCTGCTCGATTTTCGAGTTTACGAGGGTCCTGCACAGACTCGAGGGGGTTTAAATTCCCATGCTACTCATTTGGTAAAGATGGAGAAGCTGCTTTGCTGTACATACAGATATATAAAACCTTGGTTATTCTCGATGTCAATAAAACCTCCCCTTTGATGAGCGAGGGAGATTCACCCGCAATTGTATGACTCATCCGAGAGAGCATAGACCGACTTTCTGGGTTCATAATGTTATTATATGTATGAACGGGGGATAAAAGTGCACTATTTACTACCAAACGTTTGGACAGCTCTTAGCAAACGATATTAAGAATAAAAAATTGGGCCCCCCAAATTCGTTATAGTTGATACAGTATGATTCCACAAAAAAATTTCCTAGTCAAAATATAATATATCGTGTCGATAAATAACCGTCTAAAAATACGCATCAATGTCCAGGACTTTGGAAAATTAATAAAAATAAAAAGCATTTTATTTTTAAATTACAAACTCTCACGAGTAACGAAGCCGCGATGTTATTTTAATTATTGCGAAGGCAACGAAAAGCCTCATACATCATCGGGGCGTACTAATTTGTCAGAGCAAAATAGAGTTTTCATCATAAATTATATCTGCGTAATATGTTGGAATTATTAGCAATAGCTAAATAACGACATGACTCGCGTTTTCTAACGCAATACAATTTGCGCCATGACACAACGGAACAGGTGCTCAAAGGGGGTTGGTAACTTGTTCCGCGGCCACTGACACATTTCGCACACGAAATAGGATAAGGGATATTCCCATAACATGTGTGTATATCTAGGGCAATACTACACTTTCCGATTCCTCACACCCCGATATAAGTAGGTAGATATATAAATTTTATTCTTTTGGAAAAGTCAAAGGTAACACAAAAAGGATTCGCACGCATGCTCATTTATTGTAATTATTATTATTATTATTTTTACGATACCTTAGCCATAGCTCGAGCTGTCGACGTCGTCGTCCTCGTCGACGCGAAGAAAGGAGCAGCGCGAGAGACCTTACTTCCTTCCTCGATGTATCCCCCTTTCACCTAACCCCTCCACGGCCAGGACATGTCTGTTTTCTTTGTTTTAAACTACTCACAGCTACAACTAGTCTTCAAAACACACTGCACAACTAAAACCAAAGGATAAACCTCTTCCTCGAGAACAGCTGCCTTTTTGCGTTTCCTCGACGGCCTCGACGCGCACACGAAAACACTGCTCTCTGTACTCTCTTTCTCTCTGCTGCCACTACCACTACTAGGACATATACAATCTTGTTCTTTCTACTGTCTACTGTTGTCGGACGGATTGGGTAGAAATGGTAGGATGCGAGGGAGCGGACCTGCGCGCAGTTGCGAGTGTTGCGACTAGGGTGGTAGCGCAGCTCGATATTGATTTGACGCGCGCACGGCACACGGGAAAAGGCAGAGACGAGGAGAGAGAGGATGATTCGAGCCGGCGAAACCAAACCGACACACGAACAGTACACACGTACACCTATAGTGTATATACACCTATTGCCGAGATTATACCGAGAGAGCACCGGGAGAAGTTAGGTTTGTTTGGTTGTTGGCTTGCCCCCACCCCCACCCCTCCTCACGCGAAAGTCTCGAACCTGCAGCAGATGCTCTTACTTTTTTCTCTCTCTCCTTTGATCCTTTCCTTTTCTTTCGCCGATTATCGCGTCTGAATTATGATATTATTAATTAATCCGCATACGGTCATTAAACTCGTAGATGTGTATTGCAGACAATATTATTTTCATCACAAGCACCATCAATTGAATATTCTTACACTTTGTGAATTTGAAAAATCTTAGTAATTTTAATTATTGCAATTTGCTGTTATTATGTATAAGTAGGTACAAGTTAGATTTGTAGTAATTCACCTGATCTTGAAGCGTTTGTGGGAGATTTTTTGGTTCGTATTTGTGATTAACGTTCTGAAAACATTAAAGCGCGCATATGTTTTACAAAGAAAGTATTTTTTATCACGGTCCATCAGTTTCATATAGTTATCATCTCTTTTTAGATAATACACGAGTTGTGCAAAAAATCACTTTACGTAAACTTACCATATTGTATCTTGGAATGTTGGAATACTTAATTGTTATTCCAAGTGCGGCCACCAAACTTGCAAATTTACAGTCATTCACGTATCTTCCCGGAAAGAAATAATTGCGAATCCTCACCGGTCAAATACTCGTGTACGTTATAGTTTCATCATCACATCGAACGATTCGATCGAAGTTAAAAAAAAAAAAAAAAGTCGCGTGCCGATTTGCCGTCAGCATTTTTAATTAGTTAAGAGATGTATGCACATGTAATTATTTTACTAACAATATGTATGTACGCGTAGTTTTATAGGCGCGATGTACGCTGCAGAACACACCCGGCGATTCAATGATAAATAACTTGTATACCCGTACTAATGAGCAAGTACTTTTCTTATCTATTCAATAGGTATTATACAAGAGAGCGAACAGAGTCTTGTCCACCTGAAAAGAGAAGAGCGCGAGTATTTTTCCGATCTATAATGTGTGTTTGCGCGTGTCGCGTGGATGGCACCTGTGTTGAAAGAAACGACTCGCTACTGTTTTTTTTTTTCTATTTTTCTTTGCGTTGCTGTCTCTCGCCGTCTGCATTGAATATAATTATTATGCTTACTCGTTGTAATCTGAGGTCACGTTTTTTTTTTTTTCCAATTTGATTACAAAAGGTGCATGCATATTAACCACACATGTGTACTGAGTAAAATAAAAATAAAAAACAGTTGAATTAATGATTGTTGTGTGATTTTGTTGTTGCAGCATTATTTTTTCCCCAAACAATAATACGAGTTATGAAGATGAACTAAATAAATTGGTGTTGTGTAACTTATGACTTTTTTTTTTTAATTTAGCATCCATTACTACACATATTACATTTCACAGAAGTAATTTAAGCTTATCGAGTTCGACAATTAAACGTTCTAATAATCATAAAATATACATTTTTCGCTTTCGATACTGATGAATAAAAATAATAGTTTTTCAGTCTTGTCTGCTTTCCCAACTTGTCAAAAACGCTACCTAATAAATGAAAATATTTTCCAAGACGCTGCCGTCCTGCAGTGGAAAATAATATTGAAAATATAGTTTTAAAATGTGTACGTATTCAAAGCAAAAAAACCAGTATATTTTATAATTATGTAGCAGTTTATACATACACACTTGTAGATTTTAAATTACTTTTGTAAAACCATTTTTATAAAAACGTTTCATAAACAATAAAAACAAACTTTCAAGCTGAGTGATTTTGTTCAATTCTAAATGATACATTTAAACTCACAAATCAATATCGCTTTTACTTAAATCATAACATAACGTTTGAAATAATAATATTTACTCGCAATAAAAATACTTTTTTTTAAAACAATATTTACTTGAAGAATTACAATCACAAAGATCATCAACATCTCTTTTAACTTTTGTAGTCACATTATTTTACGAATCACAAATTACGCACGTAGACATATATGATATAATGAGAAGGATTTCACTTTCTTTTTTCATTACATATAAATTTTGATATACAAGGATTAAGAAGAGCGACATGTACCAGTATCTTGTGTTGGAAATGTTTCAAGCCCTTCTTTTTTCTCCTTCTTTGATTTTTTTTTTCTACCACAAATTATTGTTTTTGTAGTATTTAACCATCGAAATTATTTCTAAACACTCGACTTTTTTTTAAATAATTTAGTTCCTATTCTCAACTTTTCAATGAATCATCATTTTATTAATAATTCTTGTAATCAATTTTAACATTTGATCTTTATTACACTAGTGAACATGTCTAATTTATATCAAATGAATGTACGTGCTATCAGTATACTAATAACTGTTAGCTGAAAATCTCCTACATCAAATTCATTATAAAGTTGATTTTAAATGTACAATGTCAGCCGAGTACTAGGTAGAACTTTTTCTAATATATTTACTCTAAAAAGGAAAAGCGCTCTCGAGATCGATTATGTTTTTTTTTTTTTGTATTAGGATGATAGATACTCTATTTCTCTATCATCTGATATATGTATTCATTAACAATTAAATTTATTTAAATTTACAGATTATAAGCAAAAATCACAATGACATACTTATGACATACTTAGGACTCATTGATATAAAATTTAAACGGATCGTAAAAGAAAACCAATAAATCATATACAATTAATTAACATTCTGAAAATCACATATATATTATTATCGTTAATTTTTATTTTTTGGTACAATTAAAATCGTAAAATGTTTCTTTATTTTCAATTGTTATTAGTATAATTTTGTTAATTTGAATGACCCTATATTATAATATTTATAAGTATGATATATATTTATATTAATGCCTAATATTCGACGCGCTTTTCCTCGGGCGCACTCGTTTTTTACTTATCCTTGAGCACACGCCAATTAAAAGGTTCAATGCAAATGTTTGAAATTTTGATAAGTTATACAAGTTTTACGTACGTACATATACATTAACAACACATACCTTTCTCTTTTAATATGCATACACAGACTTCAAACAAATTTGACGGTTTGTTAGGAAACTTATTGTATTTTACACCGTAAGAGTTTCTTTTTCAACATGGAATGGTTTCTCTATGAATTAATCTAACGATTCGGTCATTTTACCATTTTGTTAATTTTTTTTTTCAGTGGTTTGCATTTTTAAGAATACGGATTCAGTCGAAGAATTATTAAATTTATATTGATCACGTATTTAGCTAGCAAGGTAACTTTGTTAAAAGATAAAACTGCACATTCGATATTTACGTAGTAAATGACTTAACTGTAAAGATCTTTTTTCCAAAGTATTTAGAAATAAGATTTTATCAATCTTATAGTACTTGCTTTTTTTTAATTGTAAAAGACATTCAATAGACACGCGAATCAATATATTTGTTAATTTTCAAGTTTGTCAGTTTATTGTTACGTTTAGAATAAATGTATTGTCATATCTTACAAACGCATATTGTTTAAAAATTTGCGCGATCAAGAATAAATTTTTCTGTCGCAAATTATCATTACATTCTATTTTGGCTTTATAAATTTGTAGGCAAGGCGTTTGCAAAGTAAGAAAAATTTCGCTAGTCGAAAAATAGCAAATTCATCATACTTGTATATTTTAGCAAATATATGTATACACATCTGTTTTTATAAGGCTCGCGACATTTATAATAAAGGGCTGAGTAAAAAGGCCTTCGTTATTGTAGTAATCATTGAAAAGAAGGCACCTTTGTATAAGGATTTTTCGTGATTCAACAACTTTATAAGGTTGTTTATAAAGTCGTTATGTTTGTTTCGTAAAACTGTAAAGGCATCGGCAGTAAAAAGCGAAATAAATTTTACCAACAAAAAAACTTGTAAAAAAAATCTGATATCAGTGTATTAAAAATTTCTCTTAATTGCAATGAATAAAATTAGCTTTGTACCAAACAACTTTTTTTTAAATAATTTAGTTCCTATTCTCAACTATTTACTTACTTAAAATTCTTATTATATTCTGAATAGATAATTTGTTATATATTTGAATTTTCATCTATTTTATTACTTATTATCGTATCACTGGTTATTAACTTTCATCGTTTACATTCTTTTACGCAAAGAATGCAGAAAAAAAGGATATTAATGATTGAAGTTTCGTAAATATTTGTTCTACAAGATAAAAACATAACAGTTGCCTATGTTCGACGAATAGTCTATGTGAGACATTGTTTGTCCACAAGGCATGAACTTAAAGAATAAAATATAATTGTCAATCAAGAAATACTACGAACAAAAGACTCCATTTCACATTCACACTTCTTTTTGTCTTAAAAAAAAATAATGATAATTATAATCTTTAAAATAAAGTTCATAAAAATATTGCATAAATCACAAAGTTAATAATAATATAACTAAAAATTATAATAAAATGATATTTTAATTGAAATAATAAAAACCTACACTTTCGATTTGCAAAATTTTGCTAAAACGTTGTATTGAGTTCAAATTTACGTTCTTATTTTAATTTAAGACACGGAACTTATGGCATTGTGTGGTGTACCCATTTGTGTGAGAACCTTGTCAAGCCACTGAAGTGGACCGTGAAGGTGGACTTCGATCCAGCAAGGTGTCGAAGTAACGTCTTGACGATGGTACTCGGCTCCCCAACCCTTCACAAAGGACATTCTAAAAAAAAAAAAAAAAAAAAAAAAAAGTAGCAAACAAAATTCGTGATGAGAAAATGATGGAATAATCATTGCAAAATTTAAAGCAGCTTCGTCACGCATCTTACCTAATGGTGCACATTTTTGTGAGTTCATAGACGGCCTCAAAGCCATGATTCACGCTCTGCGAAAGCAGCTGAGCAAACTCCTGATTGTTGAATATCTTGAGGGAGCATCCTGGCGGAATTTTACAAACTGTACTAGGGTGGAAGTTGTGATGATGATTGCAATTTCTCGATTGCACAAAGATTGCCGAATCAGAAAGACATTCTGCATACACTTCACCCCCAACGTAATACAAATGCACGCCCTTGCCGATATGCCTCCTCGTGTTTTCGATTGTGGAGTTACGGTTGACGTTTGACAACTGACCAAGGCAGAAGCGATCGGAATTGTTGCTTGGATTAGTGAAGCCATCGACGATGATGGAGTTTGCTTGGCTGTGAAAGACCTCGCCGACGCGACAATTGAGCTCATAGTAGGCGATCGAAGACCAATAGAACGGCTCTTGGTAGCTGACGGGAGCTACACCCAGATTTGATGTGTCCATAGGCTGGCTGTTGCTCGTGACCGTCGAGTCTGGTGAGGTAGCTTGCCCGTGTTGGGACCCGTCCTCGGGTGGCGTATACGCCGGTGGCGGTGTTTCGGGTAGTCCGTTTGAACCATACGGGCTCTGAGGGTTAGTGTTTGTCGAACCGGGGCTTGGAACTGAGCTGATCGTTGAGATCGGCGAATTAGGATTTACCCCTGAATTCACTGCAAGTACAAAAAAATGAGACTTGGAAAATCAAGTCTTTAATGTACGTTATTGGCATGATGTGTCTAATAACAAAGTACTCACCTGCATTTGCATTAGTTGTGTTAAATCCAGTTGATGAGTAGGAAACATTGTGTGGCATAGTAGGATCAGTGAGCTGATGGAATGGCAATAACGAGTGGCCAGGAGCAAACTCGGATTGTCTTGGTACCAAGACTGGTGGCAGTACTGGGCTCTCGACTCTTTTATAATGATAGGGATTAATGCACACCTCTTTTTGCTTGGCTGAGAATGGATACTGACAATGATCTAGAGGCTTTAGTTCATGGTGTGACTGCAAGTCTGGCCATCTCCAGACCCTACAGTAAATCACGTGGGGTAAACCCTTGCGATGTGACACTTGAAGTCTGCCATCGAGACTCCTAGGAATAGTTACGCACTTGCTGGGAGACCCTGGACAACTTAGAGCTTTCTCTAGCTCCTCAATGGCACCTTTTCGCTTTTTCAGTTTTTTCACCAAAGAATCTACAGCTTTCTCAGCCCACTTTTCTTCTTCATCACCTTGCTTCCAGCCAAGCAGTTTTTTCACTGCTGGACTTGTGAAAGTAAATAGACTATTTAAAGACGACATTGGACCTGAGCTTGAAGACCCTTCTTCATCATCCATATTACAAATTAATGGATTTTATGTCGCTTTAGCGGCACTTTAAACGCCAAAACTTTACTTGAAGCTCTAAAAGTAAAAAGTTTTCTTAAGTAGATGAGATAATAATTTATAAGAACTAAAAAAAATATTGGATAGTAAAAAAAATCTTTATGCATTTTATGACAGAACAAATTATTAATATAAAGTAAAAAAAAAATTTAGGCATTTTTTTTCACCACAGAATCATAAATTTTAAAAACGTCATTTTTTATCCAGAGCTCAATTTTAGTAATCTTCAAAACTGCATGATAAATAAAATTTTAAGTTTGTGTTAAATTTTCTTGATTGTAAAAATTTTTCAACACTCACCAGTCGATGCATGTATATATCAGAAACTCAACATCTTTTGTAAAATAACGTTTTCCAAACGAAAAAATTTCGTTATGGTCAGCTGAATTGAAGAATCACTTTATAAACAAGTACGTGTATCAACAAACAGCGTGTACTTTCAATGGCAGTATTACTTTATTCGTAAAATCACCTGAAAATGTATAAAAACCAGTTATTGTTAATAAACTACAAAAGCAATAGATGCGTTTCAAATGCAGCGTAAAAAAAGTAAAAACAACAAACTGCAAAACTATCGCGAGGACAGCAAAAAACAGTATTAGGTATCAAGAGGCAATGTAATCACTCGTGATTCAATAGATTTAGATAAAACACCTCTCTGTCAACCACCCTCCGATATTTACGTATAACACACACACAGCTTATAAAAAAAAAGAGACAGAACTTTTGAAAAAGAGAGAGAGAGAGAGAGAGAGAGAGCGAGGGAAGGACAGAGAGAGAGAGAGGGAGTAAAAAGAAAACAATAACAAAAATAAAAACATGCTTTCTCTCTCTGCGATCCCTCTAGCTGTTTCTTCCCCTCTCTCCGCCCCGTCGAGATATAAAATTTTGGCGTAAGCATGGCACCGAATGAGGGCAAGAGGAAAACGTGGGTTCGCAAGAGTATAAAGTCTGTAGCAATACTTAATCAAGAAAAATGCTTACACTTCCGGGCAAAGTTATAGAAGTAAACACACAGGCATATGCACATGCACAAAAGTCGACGACACACACGACAGCTGAAGTAAACGTCAAGCAGCGTCTTTGCTGCTGCTGCTGCTGACGGCGGCTGACATCAGGGAAAAGAGCATGTGTGCAGCTCTTGAGAGAAAGCTACTACCTAAATGTCGTCGTCGGGCACTGGTTATTTTCCTCTTGGTCACATCAGACGCGGAAGCCAGGAGGAACGTCCTTCTCTCTCTTGGTATATAGATGCGCTGCGCGTGTTGTGTACCGATACGCTTTGCTCTTTACGGTCTTTGCTGTAGAGAGTGTAGAGAGTAGGTTTTCTGACTGATATCAACTTCCTCGCGTGTGCAGTGCGTAATGTGTGGCCATTGCATTGCTGGGGGGGGGAAAAATGGCGTTTACACGGGAGCAGACAGACACACACACACTACTGCAGGAGCAGCAGCCCAGCGCAAGAGCAACTTTCTCAGCGCAGATATATATATCTATACCTACACCTCTCCGCGTCAGCAGACGCCTTTGACCTATATATATATACCTATGTGTATATTTGTGTTGTTGATCGTCCGATAAATGATTGCACCCTCTTATAAAAAAAAAAATAAATAAAATACATTTCGCTTGATTTCTTTTTTTCTCTCTGTATCATATAAGAGTACCAACTTAATGCCTAAATAATTCATATGGCGTCATAATCAAACAGAAGTATATAAGTAAAATTAGTCAGATTGATAAGCTTCATTGTTGTTGTTGTTGTTGTTGACGGTCTGCTCCAAAATCTAAAGTTAATTGAGATTCGAACTAGCATGGGTTGGCATTACTGACGCACCGGGGAATCTGGTGAATCTAGGGGAAACCGAGACGGCTGAGATTTTTTTTTTGAAAACAAACCGTAAGTATCGTTTGAAAAGTTCTATCAGTGATCATAATATTTTGATTTTGTATCGCATGAATCCATTATAGTACCTTATGTAATCACCAAGAATTGCCTACGTGAAGGAGATAGATCGCTCCTCGTTCGCGAATTCCTCTTTTTTCCGACATCCTATCGCTTTATATTTTTTTGCCATGATTATTGGTAGGTACTCGATTCATAAATTTACTAACCGATGGTATAATTTTTATGCTTCAGCCTCGTTTGTAATATGCACGTTTCAAAATTTCATGCTTCTTAATTGTAGGGCTAACATAATCATCGTTTGTATACATTGCACATTTTGTAATTTTAGAAACTAGTAAGTCGGTTACTTTAGGACATTATGTTACAACGTTAGTTTATACAACTTATTAAAATATTACCGTATTGAATGATCATTTTCATCGAATATTGAGCAAGCGCGGCCTGTTTTTACCCGCATTACCTACATTTAACCAGTTGGTTATTTGGAATTTGGACGCGATAAGTGTACACACATATATACTTATTACGAAAGGATTAATTGGCTTTAATCACGTGACAATCTTTCGCGTTTTGACGGTTGGTTTAAAAAAATCGTGTAGTTCATCATAAGATAACATAACTTTCGTTTTACCTGCCAAATTATCCAAAAGAGATAAAATTGTTTATTACATTTATTTATTTGTCTTAGAAAACAAATAAAAACAAGGTCGACAAACGTGAAATGCAAGGCTTTTTGATGCATGCATAAAATAATATATAGGTATAATTATATGATTTTTCGTTACATTGAATATATAATTTATTAACAGAGTTGTAAGAACAACTGTATATTCCAATTGCTTCTTTTCGGAGGACGAATGAATTATTTTTAATAATTTAATTTAAATTACTGAAAATAATGCTACTTATCATAAAAGAAAAAACTGACAAAAAATCAACAAGTGACAATAATCTTTTTTTTTTTTTTTTACCTATTATTTTGCTTAAAAGTTTCAGGGTAGGTATACTATATCATATACGTGTAAAATAGATTTTATAGTTTTGGCCGGCATATCATCGTATCATAGCCATCATAGGTAAGTAAATAATTTTATTAATATTAAAAATGTGGCTCGCTCCCGCGCGCGAGATCTCTCTCGTGTTAGCCATTTTTTGACGTCACGTCGTGCAATTCGCCAACCGAAAGGGGGGGAAAGTCGATATTGCGAGAGTTGTACCTACTTTGTACTGTTACACTCATATATAGTTATACTTATACGCCGCCATCTTGATTAATCGCAAATAAGAGGCACACACGCAAATATTATAGCATAGCTCCGGAGAATAATCGACGTTTTTCCATCGTTGCTCTTATAGATAAATATCGATACATCCTATCATCGTCTCTCTTACTATCGGAATCAATTCAAGTTAAAAACTCTCGGTGATATCTCGCCAGCGAGTTGGGAGATCTTCAAATAACAACGCGCGCCAACAAATCAAAAGTATATTTACTTCGTAGGTCATCTACGAGGATTTTTTTTGGAGACCATACCTACCTAGGGCAGAGAGCAAGAAACCCTTTTCTCATAGGTTATTTCACAAGGAGTTCATGAACAAGTGCATGCGTTGCACTTGCTCGGAATGACGCCGTGACCGCGGGAATCGCAACTCAATTTTTTTTTGTTTTTGGTAAGTTCTTACATCCATAAATTTGGTCTTATTTTTTTATTTATTTATTTACTTTTGTCTCCTACCAAATTAGTCAGAACACTTATGTCATTAAATTCAAATACAAACTTAATACTTTGTTCTTGGTATTGGCTATCACATTTACTTTGAATGGATATTATCAAGTAAACTTTTTTTTTAACAGGTATTGTAGTAGCGTTACTGAACAATCGTAGGATTTGTAAAGCCATTCAACAAATAATATAATGGAAGGAAAACGTATAATCATTAGTAAAATCGAGTCAGGTGACACCGAAATCGTGGAGGGTGAATTTGAGCCCATCGAGATCACAGAGCATGAGGAAGAAGAAACAGATATTCCAAAGACCAGTTTGCAGAATGTGTTTGCCAAGTTTTTGGAAGAGAAGCATTCCATTCCTTACAAAAAACTTGTGGTACCACAGTCTATGAGAAGTATTTATTGGAAGTTCTTTGGATTTCCAGCCACTGCAGGAGGAGAAATATTGACAAGGGTCAAAATAGTTTGCCTACTTTGCAAGACACAGATCGCTTACAACAGAAATACTAGTAATTTAAGAATGCACTTGCAGAACAAGCATACACAAGAGTTGCATGATTTAGAGTCAGCTAGTCCACCTCGCAAGCAAAATATTACACCAGAGAGCAAAGAAAAAAGAACACAAAAGAGATTGTTGAAAGCAGCTTTGGCTAATAGTTCTCGACACATATATACAACTAATGCTGATGGCACTGTACATATCAATGGTGACATTCAGTTTATCACTGATACTAATGTGAGTTTTCCCGAAGAGGATATGAATGTATCAGTTAGTAAACCTATAAAATTCATGGTGAAAAATTCTGACATTGCAACTATATCAACCAACAATACTGGAAGTGTTGAATATGTATCATCAGAAAGACATCCCAATCAGTCCAATTCAAGCAACAAATCATCTATAGATGCTATTTTGGAATTTTTAATCATTGATTTACAATTACCAGATATAGTTCAAGAACATGGATTCCAAAGATTCGTTGCTACTTTTAATTCTCCTTGTGATTTGCCAAGCAAAAGTTCACTTGAAGAAATTCATATTCCAGCAATTTACAATAATTTTAAGGAAACAATATTATCTATCATTGACTCCATAAATGGTGAAATAAGCTTAGCTGCAGAGGAATGGGTATCCAATTGCGGTGAAACATTTATTACTTTTCTTATTTATTATCAAAACTTGGACGAGGCAGTTTTGGAGTCGAAGATGTTGTGTACTGTACACGCACCTCAACACTGGGATGTTTCACAGTGGGAAAAAACAATAAAATCCATTTTCGAAAACTGGCACATTGACGTTGACAAGGTCACTGCTGTGGTTGCATCAACCAACCGAGAAGAATTCATCACTGCCTTGTCAAACAAAGGCTTAGCAGTGATACCCTGTTTGCTGCATACACTTCAAGTATGTGCTCAGTCATGTTTTAACGATCTTGTGATTTCTTCAATTCTTGACAAGTGCAGAGCTACTGTTGGTACCATTTTAAATAGTCCTGAAAGCTATTCAACTTTACTGGAACAAGAGCAAATTTCGGAAGTAAGTACAAATTTTATCTAAGACTTAATAAAATGATTACGGTTGCTTGATAAATTATCTATTAAATATTTTAATAAATTAATATTAAATTGATAGAAATGATCTTGTAGGGTGTGACGGAATACAATGCCATGGCTTTAGATTGTACCTCTTGTTGGATATCGACATATAATATGTTACACCAATTGTTAATGAGGCGAGAAATAATTAATGATATTTTACCCGAAATGCAAGACATTGATTTAAGTTTGGTGTATCTGACTAACGAGGAATGGCAAAGTGTTAGCGATATCGTTGAATCGCTGCAGCCGTTGAAAGATACAATTTACACTCTAAGCGAGGAGAAGATGCCACACATTTCGTTGTTGAAGCCATTGCTCTGGCAGCTAGTAACCTCCCATCTTAAAGTTAAAGATGATGATACAGAGAATGCTCGAGAGATCAAGGATTCTTTGATAAAAATGTTGTCTGAAAAATATGCCGATCAACACGTAAATCTTGTGTTACAGATTGCAACTGTTCTTGATCCAAGGTACGATGCAGTGAATCACAAAGTGATTTGATTAATTTTATTAACTTAGTTCATAATTCATTGTTGTTGTTTCAGATTCAAAGAAGTACAGTATGCCTCTGACGAAGACAAGAAGGAATTTATCACACCCATTAGAGAAATGCTTATCAAGTTAATTATAGAAAATAAAGAGGGCCTTAAATCAAAATCTGAAGATGAACCACCTACACCTAAAAAAAGTCGACCATCGGGTAAATTACTTTATTTATATCTTTAAAAAATTTTGGGTCTTAATGAGTATATTTATAAAGCTGAATTTAATGTATTTAAAAATTAAGGGTTGTTTCAAAATAATTTGTTAATGCTACCGAAAAAATATAACAATGTTTTTTATTTCTAGGTATGGAACGACTATTGGGTGGGTTACGCCCCACTAAGACAACTATGACTCCCCATGAAAAGGCTAGCCTCGAAATAGCCCAATATCAATCAGAATCTGCCTTGTACATAGATTATTGTCCATTGGAATGGTGGTCAAAAGTATCTGCCAAATGTCCAAATCTTGGAAAAATAGCGAGCCGTTACAATTGTGTACCACTTTGCTGTCCACCATTGTCACGCATATCTACTGAAATGCAGATGGCATACAGCGCCAAAAGAGCCGCACTTCCTCCTCAATTGATTGATAAGCTTCTATTTTTGCACGCTAATTATAATTTAGTTCAAGATTGATCCGAGGGAGAGATTCATGAATTGTAGATAATTTTTTCATGCACCATCGTTTTCTATCTATTTCTTGTACAACAGTGATTGTATTACATGCTTTATGTATGCATTGTTTAAATAATTATTATTGTTACTAACTGATAAGTTAATAACTAGAAATAAGAATCATCTTTCAAAAATGCAAACATGAAGCATTCAATACATAATGTGAATATGATTAATTTAATTTAATTTAATTTACGGTCATACGTAATACTACACAACTAAAAAACTATTGAATTTCATAATTAGATTTATGTATAAAATGTTCTTTTGCGATTTTATTAAAATATTCAAGATTTTTTGAGCATAGAATAAAATTTTATGTAAATGTAAATACACAATTAAATATTATTAAGTAATTAAAGGAAGTGTAAAAATTGACATTATTCAATCATCTACGTGTCTTTGGCACAGTTATGAGGATTCTAGTTTTATTAAAAAAATTTTATACTCTTACAAGTATTTTCGTAAAGTTGTATGCTAATTGAATTAGCAACCATTAATTGTTAATAAACAAGGTAAAATAAAAATAAAATGACTTCTCATCTCTCAGTTTATTAAAAATTACGTTGCACTACAATAACTTTTACGTGAGGCTAAACTGCTTTTGTACCCACTTTGATCCTTCATGAAATTTGGGATCACTTATTCTAAGAGACGCTCTTTTACTGAAGTAATAATATAATACTGCAACTAAAATTTAAAAAAAGAAAAAAAAATACTGTTAGTGAAAGTTATTGTGAAAAAAATGATTAAACAATTTAAAGATTACTTTACATGATCTTTGGGTGATAAAAAGGCTGTAATAGGACACTGGCCAAAAATGACTTAACGGTGAAGTCCAATGGATTGTCATGTGCCAAGAGTGCAAACCAATACTCAGCATAATGTATGCAACGCAAATTACTAATGTCATACGAAATTGCGTGTACAAGAGTTGTATCAAACCTGCCTGTTAACATTAACATAAAAATAAAAACTAATTGAGTAGAGATGGTTTAAGTGAATACAAGTACCTGAAACACGTAGGTAGAGAAGAAATTAGCCAGTAAAATGGTTAGAGCAGTTATCAAACAGAAGTCTTGAATCCTGAAAATGAAGAGTAAGTTTGTTGATGAAGATTAATGTGTGCGCCGCATTAATAAAATATAAATAAAAATTATCCAGGCACCAACACGAAAAGAACTAGTAAATCGGCTGGACGGCTTCTGGCAAAAGTAGCAAAGGAATTGGCACCAACGTCAAACATTAAGCAAGCATATTGCAAAATTAATGTAAACGAATACTTTTTCTGTGTCAAATTCATACTCAAGTTGTTGGCGTAAAAAATATCTCACCCAATTTTTCTCTCGATTAACCCGTCAAAAGTGTGTATTCGAACAGTTGCCATGACAACGCGCCAATTTAAGTGCAAAAATGAGAACTAGCGCAACTAACGCATATCTTAAAATCACCATAAAAAACAAAAACTATAAAAATTTTCTTTACCTACTTCTTACATTAATTTAATTTCTGGTATTCCATAGTAATTGTTATTTAAACACAATTAAGTCATGTACTCAGATGATTTAAACTGTGCGTGCGTTGTTTCTTCTATAGGCTTCCGAACTTTGCATAATTTGTAAATTTTTTTTTTTTACCAAATAATATTGAATAAATTGACTCCATTTAGCATACTACACTTTTTGCAACAAATCACTAATCATAGCACCTTAGGTGTAAAAACCAATTTTCATCTTCCAATTGAATAATAATTACGTGTACTATCTATATGTGATTTCTTTACAAAAAAATTCAATTCGACCCCTAAGATGAGTAAAATTGTTCAAATAAAACGAACGGATTTATCATGTTGCAAATTAAGAAATGTAACGTCCCATCAAAGGATCAAAGGGGAAAATTAAATCGCCTCCTCGCTAACCTCGCGTCCTCGCAGCGGTGCGCGCAGGCCTGAGAGAGAAAACTCGTCCAGAAACCGACCAATCGCACGCCGCGAAAAGTTAGTCTGTTGCGTCGTCTCCTGCGTGACGGATCTCTGCGCTCTCTCTTCCAAACGGCGCCAGTCCAAATAACGAGAGACTCTTTTTGACAACACGCCATCAAGATGAAGTGAGTCCGTTGGCCGATGTGCTAGCAAAATCCGAAAATGCAGCAGGCATCACAGCCACCCCGTGATATTCGCGGGTTTCGTGGACCACCCGAGATCTCAGTAATTAATGTATTATTGTTATTTGCAGGATCGGACTCTGCGCCTACAGCGGATACAAAATTTACCCGGGCCATGGCAAGACTATGGTCAAAGTCGACGGAAAGGTGATTGTTTATGCTTAAATGTTCGATTATTCCATTTTTTTTCGTCGTAGTTGGCTCACCCTACGATTCTGGCCACTTGTTTTTTTGTTTTGTGCGACGGATGTTATTTTGTTGTTCAAACAACAATGAGACCCAGTGTCACATAACCTCCAAGTGCAAGAACCAGTGTTGTGTTTTGTTGATGATTAACCATACATTGTTGTGCTTTCGGTTTTAGAGCTTCACTTTCCTCAACTCAAAATGTGAGTCTGCACACTTGATGAAGCGCAATCCGCGCAAAGTCACATGGACCGTCCTCTACAGGTAACATTTGCATTATTTGCGCACTCCTTTTGTCAGCTGTGTCAACAACTCTGCAGCTACACAACATCATGATTGTTCTAACATGTCATATACTTTGCTCCTTGTAGACGTAAGCACAAGAAGGGCCAGGAGGAAGAACAGGCCAAAAAGAGGACCCGCAGGGCCCAAAGGTTCCAGCGTGCCATTGTTGGTGCTTCTCTCACTGACATTCTGGCCAAGCGTAACATGAAGCCAGAGATCAGAAAAGCTCAAAGAGATCAAGCTATCAAGTAAGTTGCTTGTTTTATAAACTATTTTTCATGGTATCATTGACATTTCACTATTAATTTTTTGTAGCCATAACTGTTTTGAAATAAGTAAACTAAATTTTTTAATTCATCCAGAGACCATATTTTATCTGGAAGATGTTTTTAATGTTCACTTCTGTTACATCAACACTAAAATATTTTTGTTAGACATTCGTTCTTCTAACGAAGTTTACTTATACTACGTTAGATTTTAGAATGTCTTAGATAAATAATGGGCTGCTTCACCCAGAATTGCTCAAAATGTGAATTACATTGTCTGGCTTTGCGGGTCCATACATTTGCATATTAAAACTTTAGAAATTTGAGTATTCAAAAGTTTTCAAACACGCAGATAATTTTTTTTTTTAATTTTATTTTAGAGTCGCTAAGGAACAGAAAAAAGCTAAAAAGGAACAGAAAAAGGCAGTAGCACCACCTAAACCCAAAACTGTACACAAACAAAAGGCTGCTAAGGTACAACAGAAAGCTGCTCCAAGAGTTGGTGGAAAACGATAATTTATATAGTCCTATAAATAAATTGGTTTATCATTAAAAAAAAACTTTTTCTAAATTGTTGGCAATAATTTTATTACACCCATTCGTCAGTGGAAGGCACAATATAACAATATTTTTATATGAAATGAATTAAATAGTCGTATAGTAAAGATGAAATAAGTAATCATCTTTGATAATGAACTAGTTGAAAACCTAATTGATTTGGAGTACTATTTAAATCACAAATAAATTAATAACAATTATAAATGCAACAATAATTTTTCAACATAACGATTATTCAACAATTAATTTGAACACATCTTAAAGCTTACAAATTCTGTTATTATATAACTTTTTTATCACTTTTTTTTTGTAAGTTCTTTTTTGAGCATCGATAATTTTGTAAGAGCAAGATCTCTCCAGCCCCGTCTCTCCTGCAATTTATCAAGTGGGCAAATGGCATTAAGCTCGTTGCAGATTTTTCCTGCCGTTTCTCCCTCGAATTTCGGTGTCGGACCAAAGGTCATACTAACATCGTATATGCTCTTATTATAGGATTCGCAGTATTTTTGCATTCCTGAAATTATTAAGTGATATTTATTTTGATTCTAAATAACGAAAAAAAAAAAAAACACTGATTACCTTCAGCATTTAGGTGGGCTGTTTCAAAAGGTCCAAGGAAAGCATAGCGCATACCAAGGCCTTCGCTCATCACGGTATCAATGTCTTTTACATCTAATATTCCATCAGCGACTAATCGCCATGCCTCGTTCAATATGGCATATCTGAAAATTACCACTGCTGTAATAAATTAGGAAGAAGGAAAAAAAAAAAATGTCCATTACTGTATTCTGTTGAGAGCGAAACCGTCGATTTCACGGTTCAAGACAACTGGTGCTTGTCCAATTTCAGTCATGATAGCTTTTGTCTGAGCAGGAATTTCTTTCCGCGTCCATGGTGCTGGAATTATTTCAACTAGTGGTACGTAGTACGGTGGGTTCACCTAAAAATAACACACTTATGCAAAGATACATTTGAAATAATTCGCAATGTGTTTTTTTCCTGTGTTATTCAAATATTATTTTTCTGTTACACAGGATACATCAAATTCAAGTGTCCACATCTTGATAAGCTAACTGGAGGTTCTTCCCCTTGCTCCGTGAAAAAACGGACAAATTGTACATGTAATATATGAACGTAAAAATGATCGATGTTCAGTACAGAAACACCTTTACATAATATTTGTACTGATCAATGAAAAAAAGCATCAAGTATTATATGCGTGTATAAATACAAATTAACAAAATGTTTGAACACTTTGAAACTTTGTGCTTAACGATTGAATTGATGGTGAAATGTACGACTAAAATACGATACGATAAGTACTGATTAGCTGAAAATTGTGATGTAAACGATATGATACGCGATTGTTATGTTCAAGCTAAAAAAAAAAAAAAATAAGTACATTTCCTCGATTGTCGCTTATATGTTGTAGACGTACAAAGCAAGCGCCAACTTCCAGTCGCGTTCCATAGGTATAAAAAATATCGATTAGATAAGACCCAACCGATCTCGCGCGTTATCAATGAACCGAGGGTATATTCCTCTGAAATCTGATAGCGAAAAAAAAGAAAACTTACGGGATGCGACACGACGACCTGTTCGCGGTGCTTGAGGTCTTCGCTGAAGAGCGAGGGCTTGAAAGTCGACGTGGACGAGGAGATGATGACTTTGTCGTCGACGATACTGTCGAGCTCCCTGTAGAGCTTCTTTTTGAGCTCGATGCGCTCTGGCACGCACTCCTGGATCAACTTCGCGCCCTTGGCCATTTCTTTTAGATCAGGAGTTCCTGCGCACAAATCATCATACATTGTCACGATGGGCGTCAAATTGTTTTTTTTTTTTTTTTTTATTTCGTAACGTTACTTATCTCATAAGAAAAGTTAAATGTGGACATGTACGTGATGCGATTGTATCTCTGATGTCGGTTTGAAGCGAGACACATGAAGCATGATGATGCGGTAATTTATACGCGAACGGAAATTTGTTGAACGACTTAAAATACGTGATCGCGGATAGCATAACATAGGTATATATTTTTACGCGCGAAATGTCATCTAAAGTTGAATGCAATGATAAATAAAATGGGGATGTGTTAATCAGCATAGATATATTTTGGAAAAAACCTTTGATGAGTGAAAATTGTTGTCCAGCGTTGAGTTTGCCTCGAAGGAGACCATTTTCTTCGAGGCGCTTGAGTTGCTGGCGAATATCGTCGAGAGCATTGTCGATCTGTTGCTGAACAACATCGTATAGAAGTACGTCGTAGCCCGAACCGGCAAAAAGCATAGCCCAGCTGCGGCCGATCAGGCCACTAAAAATATCATACCATGGAATTACATTTCGATTTTATCTACAGTTCATGGATGTACATTTTTTTGCGCGAAAATGAGATTTTAGGACCATATATATATATACTGCAATCTTTGTTGTTGTTGTTAATCATTTCGTTATTTTTGACAAAAATATAAACAGGGCGTGATTCTTCTTGCTAGAAGTTGTTGTTACACAATTCGAAGAAAATACAACCAAGAGTTGACATGTATTACGTATAGATAAAAGCCAAAGCATTATGTGTACAAATATCAATGTGTAACGTTAGACGTGCAAACATCTTAATCAAGTAATCACGAGTATTTTCTCTCTGTACTGATAATTCATACCGATGCACGTACGTAATTTTAAGTGTATTAATTCATGTTTAAGTTTTAATTATCTATGTTACGAGGAAACTTGTTTTATTTGCATGAAAATTGCGTAACGTTTTTTAAAATACGCGCAGAAAACATATTATTTATTGATTGTAAAAAATACGAATATTCCAAGTATTAAAATTTTGTGGTTTTATTCGCCCATGCGAATACTTGACAGTGGAAAAAGTATCGTTAAGAAAATCGGTTAAGTGCAGTAAAATTTGATTGCGGCATCAATTGGAACCGGTTTCATTGATTTTTTTAAGTAATACAAGTGTGTGCGAGGCGAGGAAAGCTTATAGAGAATCGACTATATTTGGTATTCGAAAGTCAAGCTTCGAATAGTAATAACCATTTTTAATCATTATTTTGGTAAATTGCCTAATGTACGGTGTGTAGGACGTATAAGTAAACGTACCTGCCGATGATTCCAATTTTCTCGTTTTTCCGTGACATTATTGTTTCCCCAGCGTTGTTGTACAACTGATGCGAGGTGTCTTATCGTTCCAGCAGCTGTGAGCCAATTCGAAAAATTTCCGGGTAGAGGGGGAGCGGTAAATAAGTATATTATAAGTGCTGCGATTCAGGAAATAAAAAAGACTAAAAAAACAACGCCGTTCGCTGCACGCGTATACTAACTTATTCGCTGTTTTGCACTTTACCAACTTTTACTTATGTACGCGTGTTTGTGTTGTGTTATACTTTTATGCGCAGACTCACTGGCAAAGAGAAAATCAGAAAATATACAGCAGCCTGCACGATTTGCAGCAGGGGCAGCAGGGCCCTTAACAATGTGTTTTTTTTACGTATTATAAGTATATATGCTCGTTTGCCATGATGATGATATCACATTATTACCACAAATAATACCGATGGACTGGGTAGTAGATTATATGGAAAAGTACTCGATTATGATTTGAAATGGTGCGCAACCATTGAACGAGAAATTAATTTGTCAAAAAATGTACGATTCCTGTTTCTTATTACGTTATACTTTGGCTTTATTCTTTTACTAACTTTTATTCACACGAGCGCATATTCTGCAAAGAAAATGTGTCTTTCATCTATATTTCACAAGTTTTTTTAACAAGATTGGACGGTGTGCTTTCCAAATAATGTACGTTTTTAATGTCAATTATTGAGATGATCCGTTTTTCTACTCTGCTACCTCAGGTATAAAATTTACCAATAATAAAGATCAAGGCTAGGATTTCGCGAATACATACATTTATATTTATCGTTACGAATATTGATCCACGTACTACTTATCCTAAAAATGCTCCGTTCAAAGTAAATCGTACAATCTCGTATTGTTTACCAAGTGATTACCAAGTTACCATGATTTTAAAATATAATGCGTGTACATTCCACAGGAGTAAATGTACTATTTTTATAATTCTTGTTGTTGTCGTTAATATTATAATTTAATGAGCATGTGCGTGCACGTAAATTATTTAACCTGTGTGACAATCATCATGGGTTTTATTTTGGAAAGCAAGTACGAAATTCCCGCTAATCAAAGGGATAGGGATAGCAAGGACTCACCATTTCTAGGTTTACAGTACTGTAGACTATCTCTACGGTCATATTTTGTGTGGTTTGCACTTTGCGCGTTTCCAGTGCAGAGAAACTATACTTTTAATTCCCCTTTTCTGCTAGTTTTTTTGTGTCATAACAAACAAGTCTTTTTTCCTCGTTAAATGTGTTTTTGCAGTTGCGATTTTATAATAGCTTGAGTGATTCCGTTGTGTTGGATTATTAATTTTCCAGGCTGGTTGTCTAAATAAGGTAACTTTAAAATCAATTGTTTGTCAAACGTTTACTTTTCTAACCTTAAAAATTCAGAAAGCGGTGTGCTATCACTGCTATCTAGCCAGTGCGAAATAAATATGAGTAATTATTATCGGTTTTAATTAGGGGTTTTTTAAGATTTTTGACACATCTCGTGCATGAAAACGATAGATGGAAAAAAAATTTTTCCTGTGTGTCGAGGAAAAGCTATTATTGTGCGCATCAGTACGGGTAGCTGCAAAGTAGTAGATTCGTTCTTGTTGTTGTCATGTATTGTCAATTAGTGATACACGTGGTATTTGAAAAATTTTTTAATATCGCTATTAAGTTATTCCGCGGGTGTAAGTTCAGCAGCTATTGAAAATACAGTAGATATCCGTACAGAAATTCGCGTTCTTTTCTTTCACATGCAATTTAAATAGATATATAGAGGCTTACTCGGTGTGGCGCATTTTCTTCAATGAGTCAGGGAATCCCCCAGATTAGAATTTACATAAAATTTTTTACTTCCACTGTCTTACTGTGGATATAAAAATAAAACAATAAAACAACGCGTCTTAATGTGAACAAGGAATAATTTGTCCATGCTAGCAGCCCGGAATATTTTCCTCTCGACCGCTGGGACAAGAAAAATCGAAAAAATGAGCATTATTTTTTTTCCAGTTCCATTATTTGTACATGCCATTTAAGTACTATTTTTTGTTATGCCCGCACTCACATGCACGCTGCCTTTAAATATACTTGGGGGGGGGGGGGATTTTTTTAACTTAATTTTTTACTTCTTTGGAATGTTTTGTGCTCGTCGGGTCCTATCCATAATTTCAGCTTGTCTTTTCCGTTTTGTTATACTTAATCCTGTAAATCACAGCCTAGTAATTGAGCTCATAAGTACATAATATGTTGGGGGAAAAGATCAAATATTTTAATTTTATAATCGTCTTTTGTGAAATAAACATCCGATAGCTATTGATATACTCAAAATTAATAACTAGTAATAAATATCAAATTAATCGAAGTATTTTTGTTCTTTATAAGGACTCTGATGGCAAACAAAAAACAAAACGCGCAATGGGTCTCTCTCCCCGGTAAACATATATTACATACTTTACATTTGCATCTTTGCATGCATGTACAACATACACACAATATAGGTATATATTACTATGATAACGGAATGACGCACATACGTATCCATTTGTCTGTCTCTTTTCATGCTCGGGGAAGAACCCGAAACCCGACGAGCTTATCAAGGTTGCCCGTATAAGCTGTGCTAACTTTCGCAAGTAGCATGAATGTTCCGCAGATCACAGTCAGTTTCCAGTCGATCTTTCGTGTGTGACGAGCCAACATCGTTTTAGTGGTATCTGTACTTATTTAAGCGTATTTTCCTCTTTTTTTTTCATCTGGCTCCTTAATACGCGGTTTTAGAGTCACTATAAATCACCGGGGGAGAAAAGTAGGTGGTTTTAAAATGCCGGACGCATTCGAGAATTACGCGACATTTTACGAAATGCACAGGTTGCAGAATTCGTCTCCCATGACACCAGGACAGCTAGACAACATGTTCACTTATGGTAAAAAAAACAGTATCTATAACATTTCGCGGTGGGCCCTAATATTTATGCTTCGCTGAGCAATTTTTTTTATTTTTCTAACTTTGTTAAATAATAACAAAAAAAAAAAATTTTTCCACGATAGATTACAGAATGAGTACTGCGGGAAATTATTCTCCGTCATCTCTGGAGTCTCCACTAGAAATGGAGGTGACGGAACATTATTCCACGGAACAATACGTGGACATGATCAATCAATCTGAAATAATCAGCATTTGTTAGTACTTTGAAATTTTTTCACTTTCACATATTTAAGAAGTTTAATTATTTTGAAATAAATGATGAATGTATTTTTAGTAACACCAGAATTGAAAATTATTGTACAACCTGTAGATAAATTCAGATTTAGATATAAGTCGGAAATGATGGGTACTCATGGAAGTCTTCTGGGGGAGAGAGAGGATAGCACTCATAAAAAAGAAGTACCTACTGTGCAGGTGAAATAAATGAATAAGTATAAAATTGGCTTGTTTTTTTTTTTGCAAAACATTTTCAATATTTTTTTTTGTGATAGCTTATCAACTGTCCCATGAAAAATGCAGTTATAAGGTGTACCTTAGTTACTGCTGATGAAGATAGAAGATTTCCTCATGCTCATCATCTAGTGAGGAAAGATGGAAACGTTGATAAAGACGATCCTCATGACATAGAAGTATCGGATGAAAATAACTACACAGCCATGTATTAAAAAATAACTATCTTTACTTTGTAATTTAGTTGTGAAATTTTTACATTCATATGCGATTTATTTAGGTTTTGTAATATGGGAATAATTCATACCGCGAAAAAAAATATAAAAGAAGAAATAATTAGAAAAAAAACCATAGAGTTAAAGGAGGAAAAAAAAAGAAAAGATCCCAATGATACCACAATCAGTATTAGAGAAGATTTACAGGTTCCTCATTAATTTTCTTATGTCATAAAAATATATTTATTGCTTTTTATTAAAACGGTACTTGCATCCTTAGATGAAATGCGAAGCTGAAGAGGCTCAAAAATGGATGAACCTCAACAGTGTTGCTCTTTGTTTTCAAGCCTTGTATTATGGAGAAGACAACGTATTGCACCCGGTAACAGACAAAATTTATTCTAGACCAATAAATAATCTTAGTAAGTAAATGACTACAACTGACACCCAGTTAAAATTTATGAATTTTTTAAAAATTTGAAATAAATATTTTTCCTTTACAGAAAGTGCTTTGACTGGTGAGTTAAAAATATGTAGAATTGATAAACACACTAGTTCCTGTGAAGGGAATGAGGAAATTTGGTTATTAGTTGAAAAAGTAGGTAGAAGTAAGTATTTTAATAAGTTGAATTATTTATCCAGTCAACGATGCATTAACTTTTTGACATTCAGCATTCAAATTTCAGAAAATATAAAAGTCAAGTTTTATGAAGTTGATGACAGAGATAATGTCATCTGGGATGCAGAAGGACGATTCTCAGAACTAGATGTGCATCATCAGTATGCTATTACTTTGAGGTGAGACAGAAATAAGAAATAATTTTTTTTTTCTTTTTCATTATAATACGATGTTTTTCCTATGATACAATTAATTTTTAGAACACCTCCGTACAAAGATCTCAACATAACAAGTCCAGTGCAAGTTTTTTTGAAATTAGAAAGGCCATCTGATGGGGAAACTTCAAATATCTTGAAATTTCATTACAAGCCATCAGATAAGGTTTTAAGTTAGTAACTATAAAAATTAAATTTTTACGAAAATATTTTTTTTTTTTTCTATCTATTTATTAGTTTCAAATCAAAATTACAGGTAGAAAGCGACCTCGTCTTTCATCCACATCTAAAAGTTTTGAAGAAATTCAAAATCGACCACTAAGTATGCCAATGGCAGAAACGTATACCAATTTCAATGATTTTAACGTTTCTGAAGAAATAAGAAAACTTACAGTTGCAGAAAACTTTCCTAAAGATTTAAAAGATTTTGTATTGAGCTCATCTTTTGAGGGTAAGTAAAATCTCATTACATTATTTAGTAACATATGCATGTAATAAAGCCTCGTGCATTTATTTAATTAAAATTGAGAGATAATCAAGCTTTTAAATAATATTTATATTGAAAAATTTAAGATTACTTAAGTTTATTATCAAGCCAAACTACAGAACAAGGTAATCTTTTAACGCCTGGTCTGACTACTGATGGCATAGACAAAACCGAACTGGATAAGGCATACGAGGTACTTATTTAATTTTCATAGGTGAGCATGAAAACTTTTACTCTTTGATTAACTTGAATTTGTTTAGGATTTTGCTAAAGACACCCTGAAAAAAATTATGTCAGTCTTAAAAGAAATAGAAGCTAGTCATGGCACGCAAGAAGAAGCGACCAGAAAAGTGCAAGATTTATTACAAGAGACCACGTATTACGGGGATGGTCCCTTGCATTTTGCATTGCGTTATGAACAGTATGAGACAGCAAAAAATATCATCATGGTTTTAGCTGTCGATCCTTCGTTGAAAAATATAGTTGACTTACAAAACAGTGCTGGACAGGTAAACGAAGTTAAAATGTGGATATACATGACCCAGGCTGAAATATTGTAGTTGTAAAAAACAATTTATTTTTTTTCAGACAGCATTACATTTAGCTGTATTACAAGGCAAGTCTGATATCGTTCGGCCTCTTTTAAAACTTGGAGCTGATCCCAATCAATGTGACGAAGTGGATGCTAACGCATTACACTGTGCTGTAATTGGTGAGTTTTGTAATAATTTGCCATACAGTGATTTAAAACTTTTTAATCAAAATTTTTGTGATTCCTTTAGTGGAAGCCAATGCTTGCATTGATGAGCTTCTGAAATCTGATCAAAAAATTAACCTAGAAGCCCATAATGAATCAGGTTGGTCGGCTCTGCATTTAGCAGCAAAGGTGGGTTCACTGCACGCTGTGCGAGCACTCGTTGAGGCCAACGCCGATATTAATTCTACGGATATGTCGTATGGCAGAACGGCTCTTCATATTGCTGTTGATTTTAATCACAAACACATCGTCAAATTTCTTCTTAAGAATGTAAGCTGAGTCGGTATTCTTGTACAAAAGATTTTAAACTTTTCTAACTACCAAAAAATTTGCTTTTAGACGAGTATTGATGTGAATATGAGGAATTTTGGCGGAAACACAGCTCTGCACAGTGCCGTTGTCAAAGGTGGCAGATGCGCTGAAGAACTGGTGAAAATTTTGAAAGAATACGATGCGGATCCTAGAATAAGAAACAATAATGCAAGTCGAGATACCGAAGAAGAACGTAGTGATTCGGTAAATATTTTTAATCGTTTTATTTACGAAACTAAAAAACGTATGAATCTAACGTTTCATGTTTCTACAGCCGATCTTAGAACTACCGAGTGAAACAATTAGCGAACCATCAAATCAATTACCATCCGAGAAAATAAGTGAGAGGCTTAGTAAGAGATTTTGCGAAATTCCAAAAGAATGTTCTTTAAGTAAACGATCGAGTTTACAATTAAGTGATCAAAGAAGTAAGCAGATAAGGGGGGAAATAACATCTTCAATGGAGTTATTAACAACAATCAAAAGCGAAAATGAAAACTTTGGAGAGTCTTCGTTTGATCTTGCAAGAAATGATCCAACAGTGAGTACAGCACAAACTAATTTATTAAATATCAACGTGATACGTTCCAAAAAGTGGGTGGATGAAAATATGCCTCTATAATACAAATAACTTGTTTTCCTTATCAGCTGATTCAACTATTGAACGGTGCAGAAAGACCGCCAGATATTGTTCACGAAGAGTTGGATTTAAAAGAAGAATCTGACGATGACATAGCTCTGCAACAGCGAGCCATAATGAACATACGTTCGATTGTTAAAGAAAGTTTTGTCTCAAAACCAACATTTCCTGCTATACCTACTCCAAAAAAAAGAGGGCGTAAAAAAAAGCAGCCAATAGAATTACAGCAGCTGCAACAGGAACAAAAACGCCAACAACAGCTTGAACAGTTGGGACAGGGTGACGAAAAACTTACCGAAATGCACATAAAACGACTTACACCAGTTTTAGACAAGACTGGAGATTGGGAAAAATTGGCACAACACATGAGCCAAGGATCGCTAATCAGACTGCTCAAAAAAGCAGATAGCCCATCGACATCACTTTTTAGAAAGCTAAAAGTGCGTTCTTTGATAATATTTTAATCAACCATTAATATAAGTTTTTTTATCTAACTTTTACTTTTCTTTTATAGTTGACACATCCGAATTTAACCGTTCGACAAATGAAAAAACTTCTCATTGAAGTTCAGTCCTTCGAAGCAGCAACTGAACTTGAAATAAGATGAAAAAACGAAAAAGATGAAAGATGATTTTTTTTTATATAACATATGCTTTCTTTACGATGTTTGTGTATATTTTATAAACTTGTAAATTTATATATTAGTCATAATTTATGCTTTGAATAGCATTTGTAAGTAATATTTATTTCTCTATAATAATAGTCTATTTACTTTCGATTAAACGCATCCCCATCTCGTAAAAATTAGAGTATTACAAGATCGTTGTTCGTGCACGTGTGTCATGTTTACGCGTTTACTGTAAACGACAAAACATGAAATGACGTTTAATAACGTAAATATACATACACTTAGCTCTAGCGTTATGCATATTTGTAGGAACCTATTAAAAGTTTACTCATCGAAGCAAGGTACCGTTCATGTAGAGTTAATTTCTTATGCATGCCAATATTTTGAAAGCAAAACAAGTTTGGGTATTAATATTTACTGGACGTTTTTCTGTAAACGGAAATGACAGAGACCGGTTCGACTACACTTCTCTTGTATACCTATGATGATACGATTGATGTCTATGGATATCGTACAATTAAATTAAAAAAAAATTGTACCTTTGTCATAATTAAGTTATTTCAAAATTTATAGGGAGCTCATGCGCAATTGCTTGGTCCTGGTTCACTAAAGTCTCTAAACTCCAGTGCTGATATCCCTGTACCTGTAAGTAGAGTGTGCTGGGGGGGCCCGGTCAGCTGTTGGCGGCGCTGCTCTCTTGTGAGACAATGATAATATGATATCCGTGTATATAGGTATTCCGTATTTCCGTGGTTTCTGGCTTTTGCAAGCAGCAGTAGAGTACCTACAAGTTAACGCGAGCGCGAGAGAGTTCATTTCGCTACAGTTTGTTCCATACCGTTTGCAGATAAAACGTCGACCTATCTACACAAACTATACCTATATTCATTACACCTCACTCATACTACGCAGCACAGCAGAGAGTCAACAATTCAACAACAGAGTCTACTGGCATAAATATAGTATTGGAGTGTAACACCGACCCAAGTGGCATATACTTAGCAAATAATAGAAGCAAAGCAGCATTATAGCACCGTAGCAGCAGCAGCAGGAATAAATACATATATAGGTATATACGGACATCATCATCATCATCTACCACCCCACGGCGACGACTTTTTATATATTCCAAAAAGCTCGCATCGGCCATATTGGTGTATTGTATCATTAGCTCGGCGCATCTCGTACTCGGATAAAGAGGTATTTCGTGCGTCCTTGAGCCCTTGGTACCACCTAGTTCCTTGTCCCTGAGCGTGTTATCTCTCCTCCTTGATGGCCGACCATGCTATACCAACGCGTCAGCAAAAATTGCTGATAGCTGATATTACACCTCATTGCCTGCGTGCAATACACCTTCTCCTGTTCTGTTTCTGTAAACCTATTTATCATTACTTGTACATGCAACAGCAGCACAAAACCCCCTTGTGTTTTACCCCTTGCCACCATGTGTTTTATTGTCTTTCTGCTGCCTGCAGCTACCCAAGTATACCTACACTTTTTTTACTATAAAAGTATATATACACACATTATCTATTACGCACGAGAAAAAAGTTTGGTTAACGTCAACCCCGAGGCTTTCCCATCCTGATCCCTTTATTCGCCAACCAACACTCGTATACCTAAGACACGAGGTCGTATCCGGAGGTCGGACCCTAGACCCTATACAGTTCGTCCGATAGCGCTGCAGCAGCTGCACGACCAATCGTATGTTTGTGCGTATATGCGTGCGTATGCGTGTCTGTGTTGACCTTTGACGAATTTTACTTTTTTTCTTGCGCCTCAGAAATCACCGTCCCGTAGACGGCGCCCTGCTCTCTAGCGCAAGAAGAAGAACAGTTTGTTTCTGTTGTGATAAGTGCCGTGCCGTGCCGTGCACCGCGCGCAGCAGATATACTATATTACTTGTACTTCATTCCATTTCCTCCATCCCCGTTTGGACACGTTGTCTCTCACTCGTTATTGTTATACTTACTGAAAAGTCACACCACGACAACATATCAGGCATTTCGTACCTTGGATCTATTCCCGTGCGCTCTGTCTCTCTTGTCTTTCTTTCTTTCTTTCTTTGTTTGCTTTCCTCTCTCGTTATTTAAGTATATATCTACTCTCTGCTCTGTGTGGCCTTCTTCTGCGTCTTGGCCTGCCTTCTGCGCGCCCAAGTCACTTACCCCATCCTTGAAGGTACTTACCTACCTTTTTTTTTTTTTTCTTTCTTTCTTTCTTGACAGCTCTTCAAATACTTTCGTTTTTTATCAACGTTCGCGAGACCCTTTGTCAAGGTAAACATTTCTGGTTTGCTTATTTACCCATTTAATCTTTTATAAATCCAGGGCGATAAATAATAAAAAAGAAATGACAAAATCACTTTCCTCGCCTTTAATTTCCAAGATTAGCAAATATGATAATGCTTAGACAGATACTTTTTTATCATCATAAGTGCATGTTTTAAAAATAAAATTTTAAAATTGTGTTTATTAATTTTAGAAGTCTTGGCATCATGACTGATTCTCTGAAGTTTGGCCCAGAATGGTAAGTTGATTTTTCATAACTCAATTTGTAGAAATCATAAAGTATCTCTGTTGAATCTAAAAATAATGTATTTTTAGGCTACGCAATTTAGCAGGAGATGGTTGCACTGGTGGAGGTGGAGGAGGTGGAGGCAGTCTTACGACCCCCCGTTATCAATTGGCCGAGCATAGGTATGGTCGAGAAGAAATGTTAGCTCTGTTCGATCATACCTCTAAAGCTCCAGAGCCATTGACTAGTTGCGTAGGGCTGTACGTCCCAAAAACTCAGTTACCTTTGGCTCTAATACAGATGTCAGACGATGAAACAGTAAGATATTTATATCTCAGCACTACGTTTGTCATATTTTTTATTTTTTTATTTTTTTTTTTAACGTCGCTTCATTGAATTTTTGATTATAAGTATTGTGATAATGAAAACTTTTATGTGTTGAATTACTCATTATGTAATTTTGTGTGACTTTATCAATGTGTTTTACGTTAGGAAACAAAAAATGATTTTTTAAAATTAATTTTAATATTATTTTCTCTTAAATTCTTAAATTTATCGGGTAAAGGTATATTTACAATTAAGCAGTCAACTTTTGCCTTGCAAATAAACTACATTTTAAATTGTAGCGTATATTATAAAGATGCATCCAATGATGAACTATGTTATAACAACATTAATAACCAATGTTTTGCGTAGCGTTTGTGGAATGGAGGGGTTTCAGCAAGCATTGGTCGTGGTAGAGGTGGTAGTGTTGATCGAGGACGAATCCGCAGCGGAAGAGCAGGCTCTCACTTTCGCAGCGGTTTTGAAGATGATGGGCCCAGAATTGAGACACAACCGTTTCTGGTGAGTACCTCACAGCACAACATTTGAATTCTCTTTTCTCAGAAATAGTAACAAAGCCATTTTTACGTGCGAGTGCAGGTGCGAACTAGAGCGTTTGATAGGCCTCCGATCGAACGGGGATGGTCAGATCGCAACGGGGCTATGGATTCGGTCGAGTGGAACGGATCAATTAGTCCGCGAAAAGAGTTGAGTCGCGGATTAAGTGGTAGTTCTTTCATGGAAAGTAATTGGAGACGTCACCGCGTCGGAGAAGACGAGGAAGGTTGGCGTACAAACTCAAAGGGTGAAAAATGGGGTGAGTAACACATTTTCCGATACATCACAAATTTGCACAAATCTAAAGATTTTCTGAGTACAAGGGGACTCACGCGTTTCGATTAAATGTACTTTACCAGTAAAAGGTAGCTGGCGTGAAGCTGATAAAGATCGAAGTGAAAGAATGGATGTAGATGAGGACAAGAGAGGAGAACGGTGGGATCACAAAGGTGGCAATAGAGCTTTTGATCCCCATCCACCTCTATTGCGCCGAAATCGTTTGAACCATCACGATAACCACGACAATCTACCAGAATGGTAACTATCTATTTAATGAGGAACACTAATTGCAAATGAATTTTTCTAATGAATTTATTAGAAAATAATACAAATTTCAATGAGGAATGTTAGCCAAATTTTAACATTCGGTGATTGCATCGACGTTTTTTAACTCTGCGATTGCCTAGAGTGTAATGACACCAAATCAACGAGAGCGATATTACTGAGACTTATTCGAAATTTAGTTTATATGAGAAATCAAACGAAAGACTGGGAGTAATTTTCGAAAATAATCGCAGGGCCATTGAAAACCCAAGCGAAAGTGGAGGCAGCTTCGACTCGTCTGGGGCTTTCCATGGCGTGTACTCAGACGATGACGACGATCACGCGGAAGGCCGATTACACGACCGTAGGCGAGGCTCGCGAGTGCGCCGCGTCTCCGAGGGCAACGCGCCGCACTCCAAGACCATTCCGGCCCCCAAGGGTCTCAGTCGGCCGGTATCCTTCAAATTGGAGCGTCCACTTAACGGTGAGCGGCCCAAGAGCCTGCACTCCGAATCTAGGCCTGATATGTCGGATAAGGAATCCAGGCGTAGCTTGTCGCCGATACGATCACCGCCACCATCCAGTCCAGTATCGAGGAAAACTCCGGCCGATACTACCAACAACAAAAGTGGTGGTGGCAATGGTCAGGTAGCTGAAGTAAAGAAAAAAGAACGAGTTGCAAAACAGCAAGAGCAAACTCAAAAAGATCCATCTGTTGTTGCTCAAGGTCAGCTGACAACACAATTTGTATGGAGTCAAAGTAATGGCTAGCCATTTTCACTCATGAGTAATGTTTTCTTGTCTGGTAGCTCCTGCTTCGAAAGGCAAATCGAAAGCTGATGGTACTAAAAAGTCGGAGGACACCAAGGCAGAAAAGTCGAAGACTGAGCGCAACAAAGCATCTGGTGTAAGGGAGGAGTCTACAAAAGTGCAAACGCCTAAGGAAAAACCTCCAAGCATAGCGCAACCAAAACTTCCATCTATACACCAGCAGCAGCAGCAGCAGCAGCAACATATAGAGCATAACATTGCCACAAGTGTTGCTGCGAGCGTGATCGAGTCACAAGTGGACGAGAAGCAAAAGTCGGTAGAGGCTGATAATCTGGACCGCATGGAAGAGGAGGTGGCTAAACTCATCGACCATCAGGATGAGAAACCACCTACCTCCGTAATGTCGTCCTCGTCCATAATAGGTCAGCCATCACTGGATAATTCGTCATCGTCTCAAGCGAGTGTTGTGCAGGAGAAGTGGTTCTATCGCGATCCGCAGGGCGAGGTGCAGGGTCCGTTTTTCGCGAGCGAGATGGCAGAGTGGCACAAACAGGGCTACTTCACGCCTAATCTCTTTGTCAGACGAACCTGTGATGAGCGGTACACGACTCTTGGTGAACTTATAAATCTGTGTGGTAGGGTGCCGTTTAAACCAGGCACCAATTTCCCGCCGCTCAAGGTATTTACGAAGCTGATGATTTTTGTCGTGAAAAGAAATTCTGTTTGCTGTTGTATATTTGGTAATCTCAGTTTTCCAATAACATTCAGTTGCAGGGAGTTCCTAGTTCAGTACCAGCCGGTCTGTCAATAAATAGTGGATTGCCAAAGCCTAACCTGGAAGATCCTTTGCTTCTATATCAATATCAACAGTATCAGCTGCTGCAAAATCAACAGTTGCTACTAAAACAGCTTCGGGCTACCGCAATTAGTAAGTTGTCGCAAACGGACCAGTGGACGAGTCTCAACCCAGTTGAGCAGAACCAGCTAATATTGCAGTACATGCGGCAAATTGACCCAGACCTACCAATAGCCGACCTTCCGCAAGCTCAGCCGCCTGTTGTGCCCAACACTTTTATGCCAACCATGCCTCAAGCTGCTTCTCAACCTTCCAATTCGGTACTCCAGCTTTTCCCTCAACTTCATCAGGTACATATAATATTTTGTGTTACAAATCGACTTGCAATTTAATGGTTACTTAAAACCTCCAAATAATACATAAAATACCTTGCTATGTAAACAAAAAATAATCTTCGTTTTTAGCAAGTGACAAAGACGCAAGCAGATCAAACATCACATCCGCCTCCAAATACGCATCCAGTGGTCAGCGGCCAGCAGTTGTCAAGTCAGCCGATTGATCCGATTCAGCAGCTGATGCAACAAATGAGTATGCGAAATTTACCGCCAATGCCACAAGCAGCTATGGCGCCAAGTCCTCCTCAGCCGCAACCCCAGTCACCTCCTCAGGATGATAATCCAATCAAGTCTTGGCTCAGACAGCTGGGTGTGAATGCAAATGGGCCACTACAGCAACAACAGCATCCGCCACCACCGCAGCCTCAACCACCAATCGATTCTGTTTGGCACCACCAGCCACCGCCTCATCTCACCTCTTTTAATGCACAAACTTGGATGTCTCAGGTACAAAATTGGAATCAGGTTTTTTTTTTTTTTTCTTCATTTACTGGTAATAAATATTGAATAAGAAGTACTACATCAAATAAATTTTTATATGTCAAGGTGGGTCCGATTCAGCCAACGATTCCACCTGGTCAATTAACTGGATCTCTGTGGGATGTGCATCCAAAAGAAATGAAAACTGAGCAGCAAATTCTTGTAAGTAAGAGGAAAAAAAAAAAAAAAATAAAAAGTTTTACAATACTACTTTGTTTGACTTAGGAGGAGCAAAATTTGAAGATGCAAGAAGAAAAGAAAAAAGAAGAACAGCGCAAGAAAGAAGAGATGGAGCGACATCAGGCTGAGGCGCAACGCTTGCAACGTCAGCAAGAAGAGGAACTCGCAAGAATGAAAGCTGCCGAAGAAATTGCCAAGCGTGAGGAAGCTGAGAGAAAGAAACATGAGGAAGAGACGAGGAGGCGGGAGGAAGAAATACGTCGGCAAGAAGAGGAGCAGCGAAAGCTCGAAGAAAAGCGACAAAAGGAGGAGGAGCGAAGGCGCGAGGAGAAGCGTAAGCACGATGAAGAAATGAATAGGAAAAAGCAAGAAGAGGAAAAGAAAAAGAGAGAAGAACTAAAGAGGCAAGAGGAAAAGCTACGAAAGGAGGAAGAGAAGCGTAAAAAGTTTGAAGAGGAGCAGAGGCGACTAGAAGAGGAGAAGTTGAGGTAAATAATTTTTTATATTCCTTAAGTTTATCAAAGTTCATCATAATATTGAATTATATGAAAGATTCAATACACCTATTTCTTTCAAAATCCTATGTTAATATCTTGAAAATAGACCTCAAAATTTTTGCTTAGCCCTTAAGTTAAAAAATCATTCAAAAGTAGATTTAAAATTTTTTTTTTTTTTTTATGTGACTTGAAAACGTTTAGAAAAGAAGAAGAGGCTCGTAGAAAAGCAGAAGCCGAGGAGCAAGCTAGAAAAGCTGAGCAGCGTAGACGCGAAGCAGAAGCACTCCGAAAGCTGCAAGAACGTAGTAAAGCTCCATGGGCTCAAGCTCCACCTGCTCCTCCTCCAACTGCTCAGACTTCGCTTGCTGACATTCAAAGGCTCGAAAGAGAGAAAAAGGCTGTAAGTGTTTGTAATACTTGGAATATTAACGATACAAGCTTAATAATTATAAAATAAACAGGAGGAACTACGGCTCCAACAAATACTGCAGCAACAGCAACTTGCTCAGCAAAAAATCATTGAAGCTCAAGAAGCCGCTTTAGCGGACTCTGCCAAGCGTTTGCAGTTTAAGTGGGCTGAGAAAGTCGTTCCTACGAACAATAATAGTAATCAAGTGAAAAGCCTTTCTCAAATTCAGCAGGAAGAGCAGGAGCGAATTGCCAAAGCCAAGGTGATTGTTTTTCATGGAAGGAGATTAATATTAAAATATCTATCTCGATCAAACAATTGAAAAAAAATTTTTTTTTTTTTTTAGCAACAAGAGCGAGAAAAGCAAGAAAAGGAAAAGGCTAGTCAGAAAGAAAGTGCAGTGCCGGTACAAAACGTGAGCATCTGGGGCACGGCCTCTCAAAGTCTTACTTGGTCAAGCACAGCAAACATTTCTGGGTTTTGGGATGAACCTCCTAAGGCAAATGCTGCGGCTGCAGCTGCAGCAGCTGCTGCTGCTGCCAAAGCAAATGCTGTTTTAGTTGCCAAGCAAGCGCAAGCTAAGCAGCAAGCAGCTGCCGCAATGAAGGCAGCTCAACTACAGCAACAGCAGCAGTTGTGGCAACAACAGCAACTGCAGCAGCAACAACAACAACAACAACAACAACAACAGCTGCTGCTGCAGCAGCAACAACAGCAGCAGCAGCAGCAGCAGCAGCAACAACAGCAACAACAACAGCAACAACAGAATGCAAAGGCAGGAAAAAATAAGAATGAGAAAGACAAAGTGGTGAAAAATATGTTTGAACGTAACACTGCCAAGACTGATGATTTCACCCAGTGGTGTACTAAAGTTTTAAGTGGTCTTCAAGTGGAAGTAGATAGTGAGTAAAAAAAATAGTTACATAATGGTATTTTATTATTATGTACTTTTTCAAAGATATTTTAAAGTATAACTTAATTTTAACACTCAAATTTTTTTTACAAGAAACAAGCTCATTGAGATCATTTCATTTTTCTAGTACCTACTTTCATTACTTTCCTACGTGATATCGAAGCGGCGTACGAAGTTAAGGAGTATGTTCGTATGTACCTGGGTGATGGGAAGCAATGTGCTGAATTTGCCAAACAATTTTTAGAAAAAAGAAGCAAATGGCGATCGTCCCAGCGACCTCAGTCACATGCGGATGACTTAAATAAGCCAGCTCCTGCTATTAATCCAAATGCTTCTACAGAGTTTCAAGAAGTAAAGGTGAGTGGGGTAATTTTTTTTATTTTTGTCATTAAAACTTGATGTAATACACGTAATACTAAAATATTAAAATTTTCAGAGTAAATCTAAGAAACCGAAGAAAGGAAGAATGTACAAAGTAGATAGCAAAATGCTCGGTTTTAATGTCATGTCGGCTCCAGATCGCATAAATGTTGGAGATCGCGACTACGCAGAGGACGTGTAAATGCTCGAGCTGATTGGATCTCAAGTGATTATTTCCGAGAAACCCTTCTTCATATTTTTAGTTCGTTTTTTCAGAGTCATGTTTTATTTATTATGCTCGTACCTGTTTACAGCAGGGTTTTAAGTTTCTCGACAAGGATACTCCGCTCGCCATTAAGATTTTCTATGAAAACTATGTACGGAGGCTCCTAAATCTATTCTGGGATTTATGATAACGTCGAGAATTTATGGAATTATATCCTATTTTTTTCACACATCTGACAATAGTTATGTTGAATAATCTTTATATGTAAAATATGTGCGTGTGCGCATTGAATATTGTTATTTAGATTGATAAACTAAGCGTCGACAGAAAGAAGTATATAGTGGGCTACTGACGTTTTCCACACAACTCCAACATATTATCTTTAATCTTTCGTTGTAATAGCATTTTAAGAGCGAAAAGTGATTTGAAAAAAAGACCGTAAATTCCCGATCGTTTTATTTAATAGAAATAAAATATGAGCTTGTGATTAATTCCGTCATAAATTTCTTCAATGATTGATTACAATGGTATTTTCCAGCATCAAATGATCTATTGTAAATGCAGCCGAAATGTTCAATGCGCGCACTGATGTTTTGATTTCCATAAATCATCGATAAGTTTTAATAAAGGTACGCTATTCGTGCTAACTCGGTAATAGTAAAATAAAATTGTATACTTAAAAGAGCATTTTAATGGAATCATAACGAGAGTAAAATAACAATCAACTGTATGCAAGAAAGACTGTTAAACAATTATACACACACCTCCAGTATGATTCTTACGAATTTTCATCTTGATCTTTGCACAAACTCGGCTGTATATTGTAATTTACCAATAAAATTTACAATAAGTATTCTCTAATTTCATATATTCGTCGGCGCTTATTTTACTCTTGTTACGAATACAAAAGGTTAATGTGTTCTTTTATAGTATTTTTGCGAATCAAGAGAAATGAAAGAATCATTATTCATAAGAATAAAAAAATAATGTCCCTGTAAAATAAGCAGCATATGAGCGTATGAGCTGTAAAAAACAGTTTTGAAAGCGTGAGTGTAAAGTCTGTTTTTGCGTAATATACGATTTTTTTTCAATTTACTGTATTGACTTGTAAATATGCCGACTAAGTTAAAAATAAGATCGACGCATTGCAAGAGTCGATCGAAACTAGTTTTTATGGTAAGCGAAGTTGAGACGAGCATTTTTTGAAAATTGACTTTATTGCGGGAATGAATCTTATAATTCGCCGTAAACGTTGACTTTCGATCCAAGTCTGTTCGTTTTGTAATGTTGTAAAGGTTGTTAAACACAAAGATTATTGATTTTTCTCGCAACTCGCTTTTGTCGAGAAAAAGATATAATCTTTGAAATTAAAAAAGATTTATGTATAAAAAAACAAATGTACAATAATACAGTGATTATTAAACAGACAAGAACGGATAAGAATTGTATTAATATTATATTTATTATTATTATAATACTATTACTTATGTATCTTGCAACTTGCAACATGGCAGAATAAATATTGCTATATATTTTCGATTTGGCTTTTTAATCTTTGTTGATTGTTTCTTTATTGTATGATACATTAAAACAATAATACTAAAATAATTTCTTATGAAAATTTTTCTCATTCTACTTAAGAATACCGCAATACAATCAAGTATTACAAATAGAAATAAACAAACTTTATAGGAATCCCTGTAATACGTTATATACAAATACTTGTATTATCACTTACAATCGTTAACGGTGATTTCTTAATAATTTTTAAATACGTCATTTGAACTATTAAAGTATTTTTTACACAACCTAAATTTTAAGATTCTGATTTTTATAGTAAATATACATGAAATATTACAAAAAATTTGTATTATTTGCATAGTATGTTAAACGTTTAAAGTTTTCAAAATAAATTTTATTGTGTTAATAAAACATTATTTAACAATATGCATGCAAAATAAAAAACGATAGTACTATTATTGTAAAACTAACACACTTCCGACTTCCATTGCATGACTGTTGAAAAGTTTATGAATTAAATATTATAGAAAACAATCATATCATCATCCAACAACAAACATCATTTTCCTTTTTTTAACCATCATTTAGTTTGGAATAGATTTAAAGTTTATATTTTTGAATCAACAAAACAGTTATTGTATTGTAATAAAAATCATTTCCCAAAAATACAAGTTTTATTTTGTTACTTTTAGAAATGAACACAGTTGAGTACAAAAATACTAGTGTATTTTGATGGCTAGATATTTGGTTAAGTATTTTGTACTTTGATATACATGATAATTATAATTCGTATGTACAATTGGACTAGAACGTTTCCTTATATAAAAAACTGACGTTCAAACTGTACTTTTTAGTCTTGTATGGCTTTGCTTTTGCTATAAATCTTTATTAAAAAACGGAATGTTAAGAATTTTTTCAATTATTGTTCATCTTTTATCATTCTCGTTTGTTTTTATTTTTTCGCTTTCCGATGATTTTATGCATTGCCCGTAATCTTTGGCAATATCTATATACTAAAAGAAAAAAAAATACATTGGGAATTTTTGATTTTTTTTTTTTTTTTTTTTTTTTAAAGCACAAAAAAAAGCGATTACCTTGCGAGGTACAAAATATTCCAAAAATTGAAGGACTAAGTAGCACCAAGATACAACAAGTAGATAAGGCAAAACTCCACTCTTAATGTAATTGGCTAACTGCTTTCCCAAGTTTCTTTTTTCTTCCTTGCGCACCCTGTTATAAACTATTTCCGTTCTTTTGGTAACGTTGTGCCAATTGTAATAAGAACCAATTCTTTTGTGCACCTCCTGGGGGCAAATTACTTTACCAGCTTGGTAATCCGCAATGGCTTGCTCCAAGCCTTCAATTAAAGCAGGAACATTTGGCTCAACTAAGTAAATTAAATCGGGTGGCAAAACTTCAGGGATGCCACCAACTTTAGTAGAAACTACTTGTAAGCTGGAATTTTATAAGATTTAAACTATGATTTTTTCATTAAGAAAAACTCGAAAAACAACAAGCTAGTTTTGATAAAATGTAAAAGGGATTATACACATTACCCACAAGATGCAGCTTCAACTATTGCCATGCAATAAGCCTCGGTAAGACTAGTATTGAGGAAAATGTGACCTTTATTGAGTACATGCTTGACTTGTGAATGCTCTAAGCTACCTAATAGCGTGACTCTATGCTGCAATAAATTTCTCTCTCTAATTTCTTCTATAAGCCATCTCTTGGGGCCATCACCTCCAATGAGAAATTGTACGTTTTTATAACGTGAACATATTTCTGGTATGATACATGCCAGGAAGTCAACACCTTTTCGGTACACTAATCGTGACACTACAACTATAGTAACTACAAAAAAAAAAATTAGTACTTGATACATTGATCAGGTAAGACGGATGGAAGTAGACATATCATGTCAATAGTATAACACATCAAAAAAAGGGTTGAAAAAGTAAAAAACTTACTACAATTTTTGCTCCTTTTACTAATGTCAGGAGTAAATAAAGCACAATCCACAGCGTTAGGTATGACGGAAACCTTTTCCTTTTGAACTTTGGCTCGCAGAACAGTATTTTCTTTTCCTGTGTGGGAAACACAAATGCAGTGATCACAATCAGCCAAGGACATTTCCAAGCATTTGTTTGTTAATACAGCAGAGGCATCAGCAAAGCCAAACAGTGAATGATCTGTGAACACAGACTGGAAAATCCGACTTATATAGTTGGTCTGATTTTTTTTGAGAAAGAACTACTTTATTTTATCAATAATTATAAAATTACACTGAATTATACCTTCAAGCCCATCAAACGACCAATTAACATTCCTTCATGCGCTAATGCTGAGAAGGCCGAATGGCCATGAATAATTTGAATCTCCTCCCTGATAAAAATGTACCTAATCAGAGGAATGGAGCAGATCATAGTAGGCAATACACATTGATTGTAAAAGACCTTGATCGGCAAGTAGTAGACTTTCAGGCCATTTGTCATGTATCGAATTCCCACTCGGTTGCCATAGGAGTGTGTCAATATGACAACCTTGTGTCCTTTGTCCAGTAGGCATTGGGACAGATTGAATATGTGCTCCTCGACACCACCCATGTTGGGGTAGAAAAAATCGGAGACTATGCTGAAAAAGAAAAATACTCAATAAGTGAATCACCGAATGATACGAAGTTATCAGGAAGAGTAAGATTTCTTTGATGCCGTGCATTTATTTATAATGGGATGCCAAGTGTACGATGGCTTGGGCGTGACAAAAATTGCACTCGTGCCAGAGAATATAGAATATATCTCTTTAAGTACTTACTTAAAGAGATATATTCTATATTCTCTGCTCGTGCCAATTTATCGCTAATATTTTGACACTTAGGTTATGTACATGTGCGGTTCCCAGTTAAATTAAGCGACGACTCAAAAATATTGCACTTACCATATCTTGTGCTTTTGACAGTCCATTTTTAATTTACACGACACGACAACTTTTGCTTATTACAAGTCGATAATTTGATGCGATCGAACTTAAAGTATTAGTAGCCTCATGAATCTCATGGTACACAGCCGCACTGTCACCGTTAAAGGCATCGAATTGACTGTTTACCATTCATTCATTCTTATAGCTTTAACAAACAACAACTGAGGTGATGTTGATATATGATGATCTAAGAAGATGATTCCCCTTATACACCAGTCCCACTTACTGTCAGTGTCAGCTGTTACGTACTGTAAACCAATCAAACAAATGAATTGTAAATAATTGTTTCTTATTCGTTTTTGGTAGACGGAAACTCGGAGTTCGGAGCACTGAACCACTATACTGGACATAGTGGACATGCTCGGTCCAAAAGCGAATACACCTCAAGTTGTGATTTCACGATCTAATTAATCGCAGTTTTTAATTTTTATGAACATCAAGAGACACTCTTACACTTCACTTTATAACCATTCAATCATTGATTTTGTTTTCAATACAAGTAAAATATATTATATTTTTTAATAACAAACAAAATTACAGCCTTGGATGCACAATTACGGTTCTTTTTCCATGGAAAAAAAATTGCGGAAGAAAAATAATATTAACATATAGTATACAATAGAGTTAAGCTGATCTGTACTTGTTATTCATACAATGATGCTCGCGTCTAAGTTAAAAATTGAACGTGAGTATAATTATATACTAGCTTTTTCACATCTCGCGTTGGAAAATTTGAAAAAACCGTGCCTCATTTTTACTTTAGTAGGTAGAAGTATAGTTTCGACCACTAGTGGACATATTTCTAGGGCGACCGTTTTTAGCGCATCTGTGGCGAACGCTGTGTTTTTTCTACCAAGGGTACAGTTGTAACGTCTAAATGTTAAAAAAAGCCGCCCGATTTAGGAAATAGTAGTTTTTTCGTCTACTATGGGTGTAAAAAGTGTACACATCTTAAGCGCTCGAAGGGCGCGGTTAACGTACTTATGTGTTTTTCCGCAAGTTGCGGTCGATGCACACGTCTTTTTGCCAAGAGCTTGCGCTCATGGTGAAAAAAAGTCATTTTTAACGCCTTAAGGTGCCCAAGTAGGTATATACATTGACTTTTTAATTTTTTGTGTATTATCCGAAAGTCTGAGTATATTTTGTATACTTCGAAGCAAACGAGAACACCGTCATAATTTATTATTGCAACCCCCTAAAATTCAAACGTGACTATTACACGGAGCATTTGTCTCGGTAAAATAAAGCCATCATTGCACTGTATAATGCACCAAGTCTCGATGGTTTTCCAAACTATTGATTAAATGACCGCATCACGTGTAAAAATAGACATGTATTACACTATAGATGTATAGGTAGGCGTACATGTATTGATAAAACATGCGAGCGTATAATGTGATGAAAATTAATGTTGAAATCAATTATTTTGGAACAATATGTTACGGCCTCTTGATTTCTCGCCGGATCTACAATACTCTCGTAGCTGCGTATTTTTACGAGTTTCAAAAGAATCCCTGCTACCTACATAAGATTGTTCTTAGACCATGTCAAGGTAAGTATAACTAACTTTATTAGATTATATGTATAATATATACTTAGCTTTCTGAATCGGAAATACATATATATATATATCACTTTAGATTTAGTCACGTAACATCCAAACAATTTTCAATTATAAGCCAAGCGCATCGCGAATATTGCTAGTATAAATGAATATACATTTGTTTTTCTTTTGCAACCTATTATTTTCTAGAAAATCACATCGCAAAGACCAGCAGTAGTACGATACACCAGCAAATAAATAACATATTCTCCGGACTCGAGTAAGTAGCAAAAACTTCGTAGCAATTGGTGCCACTTTGCAATTCGGAGTCGGCTGTGAAAAATTTACCTTGCCAGCAGAGAGCAAAACCGATCGCGGATGGGAGAGGCTGTCAGCCCCCAGCTGGGGGGAGGCATAGGCGCATCGCCACCCACCGACACACCCACGGCTCTCACACGCGCACGTCACGTCAACGGTATTAAAACAGTAGGTACACATAAGAGCACCTATAGGTATTCTCTCCGCGAACACGGCCAGTAACATAATATTAAGTATACGGTTGACATTGGGCAAACAATCAGCGATAACGATTGCGACTACTCGCGTGCACACACGTTTTACCTGCGTGCAAAATGTCAGCCAGTACACCCGGAGTTACGAGGAGCCGAGACTGTGGTGTTGTTGAAGAAGATTGAAAGAAAAAAAGAAAAAAAAAACCTTCGGTGGATATTTGCGTGTACGTCATACATCTGTACGGATCTCCCTACGATTAATGAATCAAAGGATATGAGTGTGTATAAAAAAGTGAGGAAGGAGACGCCGCGGGACGCATCGCCGTCGTGAATGTGATTGTTGTCTTGCAAGCGCTATCCGCCTGCAGGTGAAAGTCGTGCGTGCGTGTGTGTGGATAGGTGTGCTGCGTATAACAACGCGAGCAAGAGAGCGTCCGGAACTAAATCACGAGCGCGGCCTTATTTTTTCGTTCCTCCACATGAAAGGCTCGCGCGCCCGTCCTGGACACCGTCAAACGCGACAACACACATAGTGTGTAGCCGTCGCGTTTTTTTTTTATTTTTTATTTTTTATTTTTTATTTGTTTTTCCCAAGCTATATTTATAACAGCCTGGACGCTATGGAGGACTACAAGTTTCTCTTCAAAGTCGTGCTCGTCGGGAACGCCGGTGTCGGGAAGACCTGCCTCGTACGACGGTTCACCCAGGTGCGTTGATTTTCTTTTGACAATGCGCAGCTATACTCCCTTTTTTGTTTTTATACATTTTTTTATAAATTAACTTGCTTATGGACACTTTGCGTTCGTTTACCTTTTGCTTTTTTTGCTCCCCCTATGCGTCAAATCAGCTGTTTTGTGTTTGCATCTTTTTTACATTTCGTTTCCTTTGTTTATCAAACATTATCTTGCGCTCGCTCGGGTTTAACTGCTAAGAGCGTGCCGATTGGAGGACAAGATAATGACGATTATAAAACTTTATGGCACGATTTTATATTATGTCAATGACTCATTATTGACAGTGAGTCATAGGAACTCTTTTTCTTTTTTTTTTTTTTTTTTTTTTTTTTTTTTTTTTTTTTTNAAGAAAATTTGATAACGTATGCAATGAGATTTTACAGTAAAACCATGTCTCTCTTCGATTGCTCGTAAGTTTCATTCAAGTATGTTAAATCAAACGAAATAGAGCTTTAAATCAAGATGTTTTCAAGCACTTTAATTGAAGCTTTAAAAAAGTTCTCTACAATTTGTTTTAAAACGTTATGTATGAAAAAATTAAAGACCTACTAATTGCATTTTGGGCTCAAAATTATGATTTCACTTTCATGGCTTTTGAAGAACGTAACTGATTTTAATCGAACAGAGCTTAAATTAAAGCTTATTGTAAGAGATTTATCATAGCTAATTAGAAGCAAAGTTATGAGCAAAACAAAAAGACACATTTTCGTCGATCATTTTTGTGTTAAAAATTCATCGATGGATTAAAAAAAAAAAAAAATATAATACACATCTTACAACTGAGTGTCGAGAGGAAAACGCGCGCGTCTTCGTCGTCGATTAAAAAAAAAAAAAATTTTCCAGGGCTTATTTCCACCTGGGCAAGGTGCGACGATCGGTGTTGACTTCATGATAAAAACTGTCGAAGTGGAAAACGAGAAAGTCAAGGTAATCCATTTTTACGTCACGTTGTCACTTCGTAGTTTGAATTATTAAAATTTATGAACTACTTGATACATTGAACAAATGTATAATTTAAAAATTTTTTTAATTTCAGCTACAAATTTGGGATACAGCAGGACAAGAGAGATTTCGTTCGATAACTCAAAGCTACTATCGTTCGGCCCATGCATTGATACTCGTCTACGATATTTCCTGTCAGCCAACTTTCGACTGTTTGCCAGATTGGCTCAGGGAAATCGAAGAATACGCGAGTAACAAGGTCCTGAGGATACTGGTAGGTAATAAAATTGATCGGGAAGACAGGGAAATACCAACTCACGTGGGCGAAGACTTTGCCCAGAGACACGGCATGTATTTTTTGGAAACCTCGGCCAAAGAAGCCGAAAACGTCGAAAGATTGTTCATGGAGATCGCAGCGGAACTTATGGAGGCAAGTTCATGTTTTACAAGGGTCTCTTCAGTTACTCAATTTTGCGACTATATTCATGGAATATATGTTTTCATTCACAGCAAGCTCGTTGCAAGGAACTGCCGCGATACGAACAAAATTCGACATCTATAAATGGAAAAACAACGACAATAGGTGATACCAACAGTTGCGGATGTAGCAGACTATCTTGAACGTGGCGCTTTTTCAGATTTATAACGAATTTTTAAATGAAAAAAAAAATGAAGAAAAAAAACACGAAAGTTTTTTATATACTCGTGAATTAAATGAAATCAACTACTAGCTGGAGGAAAATACTAGTTGGTTGATCGTTTGATTTTGTGATCCTTTAAATGTGTTGCAGTTTTATTATGAGTTGTTCCTGTGTATTGGCAACGTTACTGTATTTAATAAGAAGTTTATGGTGAGGAGATTTTATAAATTTTATGTTTTTGTGGCGATACCCGGTTTATAGTCAATTATACGAAACGTTAATACTTTATAACAATATGATATTAGAAAATTTTCTAAAAAAGTAGTAATATTAATAATGATGATGAAGATGATGATGATAGAACAAGGAAAATGTGAATTCTTTTTCGTTAGTATTGTTTTAACTGAATCTAATTTACAACGTAGTTGGCAAATGGTGAAATTTTAATTTAATGAAATAGTCATTTAAATATACTCAAGTTATTGAATTTTTATTTTAGAACTTTTCTAGTCTATGCGAAACTTGGTGTTGGCTTATAGTTTAATTAAGTACTGTATAAATATTTTTTACTTCTGACAATCTTTGGGAATACGTCCTTTTTATTTTCAAGACAATGTTGTATTTGCTTTCGAAAATTAGTTAGTACAATGTTATTGACACTGATACTAGGCTTAAGAAAGTTTTTCTGTTAATACCACGAAATTTTATTTATGTGTTTACGTACTTTCACACCAATTGTATTATTATGTACAAAGAGACGAAAGGTTGTTTAGTTTTAAGCATCTTACAGTAAGAATAATTGAGCATTATTAAATATTTAATTACTCTTTAAAGTATTTTCAGCATTTTATGAGGTCTAGGTATATAAACAATAAGAAAAATTTAATAGGCAAAGGATTTTACAAGTCACATATCAATCGACCGAAAATGCTTTTCCACGATTTTTCACTCACAAACTCGTTCATCATTAAAATAAAAATATAATATAAGTATTAAGTCACTTGTATAAATGTACTTCTTAACATTTTTCCCGTTGCAGTTGGATACCATCGAGATTATGTTTTGGAGATATTGCTTTTATATGTTAAGTTTTTTACCAGTAAGATATTATAGTAATAAATTAAAATACGATGAAAGATTTGTTAGAAGTGAAGATGGAAGCAATGGAGCTGAATTTTGAAGTTTTACGATTTGATAGTGCATAAAAATAAAGTCTTAATAAGTAAAATGATTTGACTGACTTATTTCAGCACCTTTTGAAAACCATAGTTAAAAATCAAAACACTTTAAAAGTACGAGTTTACATTATTACAACAGTTTAATATCTACATAAACAATATCAAGATTGATGTGTTCAAAATCTTTTGGTGTACGCTTTACTTCTATGGTGAAGATTTTTCTACACTAGAGGTGCCAAAAGGTCATAAAAACGATAAAATTGGTATGCAGATAAAAAGGATCAATACATAAGATTGTTAACATCAATTGTATTTCTTTTCACATAAACAAATTTTATAAGTAACTAAGTCACTAAAGAAAGAGCAAAAAATTTTGTTCGTACAAGAGCTTCTTTTCTGCTATTAATTAATTTGGTGTTGTATGATGCACAGATTAATAAATCCATCAACATCAATATTAAATTATCAAAGATGCAAAACTAATGGGAGACATCATAAATTAAGAGCTAAATCATATTCAGTAACTATTAGTCTTTAGTAAATCATTCAAGACGATTTAATCATTTTTTTGTAAGTATTTTGCATGTTAGTTTTGCTTTTTTAACTATTTCACCTTGCACAGTTTTTTCAATCAAAGATGAAATATATTGGATTCCTCATTCAAGAGATAGTACAAAATATCACTAAATAATCAGAATGCATATTTAGAATGAATGGTAGTTATTACTATTTTTACAAGTTAATAATCGTTTGCCAAAATTTTAGCTTTTAAACATACATCTTGAATAAAAATAATTTGTAATTAAAAATAAATATGTAAATTGTTCCTTACTCATTAAGATGGTGCAATATAATTTAAGAGTGGTGATAAATCTAGTAAGCTACACAAAGTAATGTGGCTTCTTGACAACTATTCCGTATTCTGCGACTGCAGGTGTCAAGTCCTCCATTGTGAGTGTGTACCGCCTATCTTTTCCCTTTGTTTTGGTATTCTGATTTGCTCCTCGGGCTTTGCAATGCTGCAAGGCATCGTTAGCAATTTCGGAAATGAATTTCTGTGCTGCCAAGGAGACTAGTTTTACTCTGCAATCAAATGTTTCCAATTAGATAGTGATTACAGAAAATCTATTATCTAAATAACTGTATGGAGTAAAACCCATACATTCTTGGATCTGTTGTGTTAAATCCAGCAGTGTGTAAATAATGTTCACTGACTGCATCTGGGACCTGTAATTGTAAATTTTGCTTAAAAAATTGAAAATATATCATATCGGTCGAATAATCAATAAAAATAACACTCACTGTGGGAGTGTAATCCTCTAAATGTAACAAAAAGTCTGATAACGGTTGACCAGCAGTTTTAACATCTTCTGCTGCTGTTTGCTCTTCACTAATATCCATCTCACTGTTTTCTGCCATAACTATCACGTAAAAACACAAAAAAATTAATTGTAACAATTAGGTATCGAAGTGTGACAATTTTATGTGTTTATTACATTGCATTGACAAGGAAAACGTCTATCTAACCTTAAAAGAGATCAAGTACGTTTCCAAGATACTTGATTTTTCATTGGCTATAGCGCATGAATGGTTTCGACGACTTATACCTACATATAGGATAATATAGGAAGCGGTATGTGAATGCATATAATTATAAGGGTGTATTCCGCAATCACCGCCAGCAAGTTGTATGTATATGTACATAATACGATGGGATGCGTATGGTTGAGAGCGCTCCTGTCGATTTATCGATACATTAAACATTAGAAAAGCAGACGACGAGACGACATCGCAAATGTGAGAATCGCCGTGAGATTGCGGAACAAATCACGAAATCATCAGCAAATCGACAGTAGCTCCCGCAAGCAAGCAACGTTTTATGTTACGTCTTACATATATGTAACTGGCTGGTGGCGAATCGGCCACTGGCGATTGCGGATCACACCCACACAGAAACAACGGAATGGTATGTATAACAGGAATGTTAGAATGGTATAACCCAATAAAGTAGGAACGTTGGAATGGTATAACGCAGTCACTCTATAACATAAGAACGATGGAATGTTATAACTCAGTAACCCCATAACACAGGCACATCGAATGGCATAACTCAATAAAATAGGAACACTGGAATGGTACAACACAGCAACACCATAACCCAGGAACGTTGGAATGGAACAACCCAATAACACGGAACTTTGAAATGGTATAACACAGGAACGTCAGAATGGTATAACCAACATAGTAACCCTAAATCGCGGCTATCGCCGCACTGTCCCTCGACCCACTGTACCTGCCGTGTGTTCCAGTAGCGCTCTCCGACAACTTATCAACAACTTAAACATGACGCAAGATATTGTAAGACATAATTAAGTTGTCGGAGAGCGTTACTGGAACACACCCCCGGAGTGGAATTCCGTAACTAGTTTGCTGCATATCAGCCTATGCTACAATGTAAGCTCACACATTGAAAAAAAGTTACGGAATACCACCCCAGTAAATTGACAGTAGCTACTAGGTGTTTTCCGCAATCGTCACCAGCAAGTAATTTAAGGTTGCGCTCGAGCGATATAGATCTATAGAGCACTTTTTCCTCGACTTTCACGTCGTCTGCTGTCTTAACTGGCCAGATTACGGAATAGAGCGCCAGTTTAATTCAAGGTAGTTGACTTACTGACCTGTCGGTAACGTAGAGTGCAACCTTAAATTACTTGCTGGTGACGATTGCGGAAAACACCCACTGTATGCATGGCTAACTGGTGGCGATTGCGGAATACATCCTGAGATGAAAGCAGAAGCAGACGAATTTAAGTGTGCATATGTATAGGTATACTTATATATTGCAGATCTGCAGGTGTATGGAGCTCTTTACTGCATGTAGAGCTCTTTTTGTACACTTGTCTTATAAATTGCTAAAAGGGAAAACTTACATTGTTAAGTTCGATTTTTCTCATTTGTATGTTCATAATGCAATGATTGATCGGCGGACGGTGTGCGGAATAGCATGGATGAAAACTGATTTTTAAGGATTTTTATTGAGTGATCTCATATATTTTTTTTATTTGAACCTATACTTAATCTCAGTTTCGTTCTACGTAAATCACTTATCAACTCTTGTTAGAATGAAACAAATACTGTGCGGAAAGTTTGGGTAAGCTTTAAAGCATTTTTTACCACCGGCACACTTTAACATGATTATTTAACCACGATTTGGGTGTTCGTGGGTCTAACGATTTCTTATTGACCCTTATCGAATAGGGTTAATTGGGGTTAATTTTTTAAGCAGACAACTGACATAATTTATCAAGCATATCGCTTTGATTTTATGAATTTAAAAATCATCTCGAGGTTATGTGACCTACCTGCAAAGTATTTTTTAATAACTTGATGTAGCAGTCACATAATACTCATACATCGATTTTACTTTTTTATTTTATTTTATTTTTTTAACCAAAGCAACTTTGTCAGTAAGAGATTTGAATAGCTTGTCAAATTGAGCGATCGTTTTCAATAATTTTATTATTTGTCACCCAACTGTCTTTATTTTAGGACCAGCATTCTATTGATATCCAAATCGTCCAGGTACCCACTGTCCATAATTAGCACACGGAATTTGACATATGGAAAGTTCAAGTACTGCAAACCGCTTTTAGCATCTCCTCAGACACGTATCCTTGTAAACTCGCAGAGAAGACAGATTATGATAGTTGCTAAAATTTTAAGAGGAGCACTAAAAATACGATATCTCTTGCTTGGTGGTGCAGTTGGGGGAAGTGTCACTTTACAAAAAGTAATTGTTACTCTGTCACATCAAATATCGTTTTCAATTAATTTGGAACTACAGTGACCATAATTTAAAATTATTTTATTTTTTTATTGCACTTGCAGAAATATGATCAGTGGAAAGATGGACTACCCGATGTGTCTTGGATAAACAATCTTCTTCCAAATGATCAGCAGTGGAGAGATCTCAGAGCCTCTTTGTTAGATATTAAAAACACCGTGTCTGATAAAATCGAATTAGGTTTGTTTTTCTTTTTTTACTTATTTTCTTCACATTATTACTAGTTGCTGTTATTGCGCGATAAGTATTATGTTGACAAATGTAAACAGATCCCCGAATAAAGGAGATTGGGGAAGCCAAATACAAAGAATACACGCTGTGGTTTAATCAAAGATTAGACGATGCCATTAAAGCTGCTCAGTCTAATAAAAATGATGACTATAATAACAATAATACCGATTCATCTAAGCGTAAGTCATTGTTAAACATTTCTCATTTTCAGTGCTCCCGTAATTCCTGCCCGAGTTCCTGACCAGTTCAGCTCTTTACGAATTCCCAATCATTTAGCTTCCTTTATTTTAAGTATTATTTAATATGTGATATCTAAAATAGTGTTTTTAAATTATTCGATGTATTTGTATTCATTAGGTTGAATTGTTTGATTTTCGAAAGTACACTGCATTTGAAATAATAAAAATAAAAACACTAATTTATTTTTAAATTATTTTATATGAATTAAATGTTAATGCGTGTACTCTTGCATGTATTGACACTTGATGTAAATTTTCACTAGCACTTTAATTTATAATTTGGTCTGTTCTGTTCAGGTGAAATTGAAGTGATCACAGCCTTTGCAAACCAAGTTTATTCAGGTGTGTAAAGATAATAAAAAAAGAGCATAACGCTTAGTCTGTCCATTCAGAGTTATGCACTTTGTGATGAAATTTGTTGATTTCTTATAAATTGAAGTAAATTTTCAATTAAAGTAGATACTGAATGGGACAGGCCCTTTTATGCTTTGCATGGATTATAAATATAGCTATGATTTTATATTATTATTATTATTATTATTATTATTATTATTATTCCGAATTATTGGTTATTTCGAATGCTAAACTGGATTTATTAGTGGGTTTATAATTTTTAAAATATTTAATAATACATTTATAATATTCAATAGATAAATTTGAATATTACAGATGTGAAGGGTGAGATAACGAAGAATACAGTAGCGTTTGCCTTGCCTGCAGCTGAAAGCGATGAAAGACGAAAATCCCGTACGTATTTTTTTTTTATATTCAGTGAAAAGTTGTAGACAATCCGAAAAACTTTTTGCAACGGAAAAAATTTGTTGCAGAATCTTCGAAACAAAGAATAGATGAAATGCAAGATGACGTGATGAAAATTCAATTGAAGTATCAGCGAGAACTTGAAAGGCTCGAGCGTGAAAATAAAGAGCTCCGAAAACAGATGTTACTTCGTGGTAGTCTCAAACAAACAAATCGAAAGATAAAAGTAAGGACGAATTAAATTTAAAAAAATTTGGTCTCTTTTTGCCAAGTGTTTTCTCATGTTTTATTTTTATAGAAATCTCTCATTGACATGTACAGTGATGTACTGGATGAGCTAAACGATTACGATAGTGCATACTCCACAGCTGATCATTTACCACGAGTCGTCGTAGTCGGCGATCAAAGTTCCGGAAAAACTTCAGTTCTCGAAATGATTGCTCAAGCTCGTATATTCCCAAGGTAACAAAGTTTAGAGTCGCAAAAGTTCAATTAAACACATCCACTAACTAATGAATAAAATTTTGTAGAGGTGGAGGTGAAATGATGACAAGAGCTCCCGTAAAAGTTACTCTGAGCGAAGGTCCATATCATATCGCCCAATTTAAGGATAGCACAAGAGAATTCGATTTGACAAAAGAATCTGAATTGGCTGAACTTCGTCGGGAAGTTGAGTTGCGCATGAAAAATAGTGTTAAGGGCGGAAAAACTGTCAGTCAGGACGTTATTGCCATGACTGTAAAAGGACCCGGACTGCCTCGAATGGTTTTGGTTGACTTACCTGGAATTATTAGCACAGTTACTACTGAAATGGCAGAGGATACTCGTGATGCCATACGTCATATGACTCAACAATACATGAGTAATCCGAATGCTATTATTCTCTGTATCCAGGATGGATCTGTTGATGCAGAAAGAAGTAATGTCACAGATTTGGTTGCACAAATGGATCCTGCTGGCAAACGAACTATTTTTGTCCTCACAAAAGTAATGACTAAAAATTTGTTGGTAAAATAAATAAATGTCCCCTCAATTTAAAAAATCCTAATTTTATAGGTAGATATAGCTGAAGAAAATTTGACAAATCCAGAACGTCTAAAAAAAATTTTGTCTGGAAAATTATTCCCTATGAAAGCCTTGGGGTACTTTGCCGTCGTTACTGGCCGAGGCAGGCAAGACGATAGTATTCAGACAATAAAGGATTACGAAGAGCGCTTTTTCAGGAATTCTAAATTATTTAAGTTCGTTTTTTTCTTATCAACTCAATAATACAAAAGATTATATACGAAAGTAATAAAATAAGCCTACTTCTTGTATAATAATTTTCAGGGATGGTTTGGCAATGTCCGGTCAAGTTACCACTAGAAATTTAAGTTTAGCAGTTGCCGAGTGCTTCTGGAAAATGGTGCGGGAAACTGTTGAACAGCAAGCTGATGCTTTCAAAGCCACGAGATTTAATTTAGAAACGGAATGGAAAAATAATTTTCCCAGGTAAATTAAACTTAGCTCGAAGCTATTACAGGCTGGTTATAATTTTTCGGTGTATTTCCGTAGATTACGCGAATTAGATAGGGATGAGCTTTTTGAAAAAGCTAGAGGTGAAATTTTGGATGAAATCGTGAATTTGTCCCAAGTTTCTCCAAGGCACTGGGAAGAAGTGTTAATGAACCGCTTGTGGGATAAAGTTAGTATGCACGTTTTTGAAAACATATACTTGCCTGCAGCCCAATCTGGAAATCCAGGTGAGAAATCCAGGTTCTTTAATTTTCTTTCGTATAATATTGATTCTCTGTATACGCAATTTTTTCAGGTACTTTTAACACGACCGTTGATATAAAATTGAGGCAGTGGGCGGAACAGCAATTGCCTTTAAAAAGTGTTGAAACAGGATGGGAGTGTTTGCAAAAAGAATTTCAGAATTTCATGGTACAGGCTAGATTGAGTGCTGATCATGATGATATTTTTGATAACTTGAAGAATGCAGTTGTGCAAGAAGCTATAGCCAGGCATACTTGGGAAGATAAGGCAATATATATGCTTTTTAGATTTTTTTTTTTTTAATTCATCAAGATATTCTTTACTGAAATTTTTGCAGGCATCGGAAATGTTGCGAGTCATTCAGTTAAATACTTTGGAAGATAGAAGTGTTAGCGACAAGAGGGATTGGGACCAGGCAGTCCGTTTTATCGAAACCTCCGTTAAAGAAAAACTTCAGAGCACCGAGCAAATTTTACGTGGTATGCTGGGACCCAGTCGAAAGGAGCGGTGGTTGTATTGGCAATATCAAACGGAGGATCAGCAGAAGCGAAATAGTGTAAAAAGTGAACTAGATAAAATTTTGTACGCCGATAAGGTAAGTTAACGTACTTTATCAACATAGCGCATCATTTTTTAATCTTATTCACTTACTCTAGAATCATGCACCAACGTTAACGCAAGACGAACTGATAACGGTCAAAAAGAATTTACAGCGCAGTGGGCTGGACGTCGATAATGAGTTTATTCGGGAAACATGGCACCCGGTGTATAGGCGATTTTTCTTACAGCAAAGCTTATCTCGAGCGTACGATTGCAGAAAAGGTTTTTATCTCTATCACACGGGACATGATTCAGAGGTAGGTTTGAAGATGCATAAAGCGTATTAAAAAAAAAAAATTAATTTCCTAAACTTATAATACATTCACAACTTATTTATAATTCGATAGATGGAATGTAGTGACGTTGTATTATTTTGGCGTATTCAGCAAATGTTGAAAGTAACCGCAAATGCACTTAGACAACAGATCATGAACAGAGAAGCACGCCGACTTGATAAAGAAATCAAAGAGGTCCTTGAAGATTATAGTCAAGATAGTGAAATCAAACAAAAGCTACTCACGGGCAGGAGAGTCACTCTTGCCGAGGAATTAAGTATGAAATATACACTTATGATTAATAATTTTACTCTTAAGGAACCTGTACATGTATGTTATATGTTTATTCTTGTTGTATTTCAGAACGCGTTAGGCAAATTCAAGAAAAACTCGAAGAATTCATCCAAGCATTGAATAAAGAAAAGTGAACGCCCCCATAAACTTATGCTAGTGCTTCAACTTCTATTGATAACTCTCTGAGTTGTAAATGAAAAGTGGATATCGATTAAGCGAATAAAGTAAGTTACCATCGTTTTCAGAGCTGTGAGAATTGACACTTGTCGATCAAGCGAAATTTTACGTAGTTTGTTATCAAACAAATGGTAACGAGTCACAAAAACACATTGTTAGTCATATACAAAGAAGAGAAATGCGTTTTTGCATTCGGTAATGGAGTCGGATGTACGAGTAATGAAATATGACAAAGTTTTAGTGTAAATTGTATTAGAATTAAATTAGGAATGGCGTATATCTAAAATAATTAATTTTTGTTATAACTTAGTTATTGAAAAGCAAAATTCTTTTTTTCAACTTTAAAAAGTAATTGTGTCGAAAGGTTCGCATATTTATTATGATGAATTTTGTGCACTTTATACTTCCGAAATTTTTCAATAAGTTGCGGCGTGCTGCGTTATATTGAATGTACATAGTTGAATAAAAAACATAAAAATAAAAAAAAACATTTTTTTAACCAGACAATTTAACAGGTAATCGAATAATCCAGCATTGTTTGATTCATATCACTCTAATTTTGCCTCTCCCAAAAAGTTTAAGTTAAAGTGTTCATGGTAAGATTCATATTTTACAAAATAATTTCTAACAACAAATAAAATAAATATTATAATTTTTACTACTGTAATATAAGTACATTCGAATATTTGAATTTACTTGAATAAACATTCATTGAGTATGGTATCCGAATAGCAATGGTTATTCGGCGTTATAATTTCGTGACTCTTGTCGGATTCTTCAACTCCACTAATGGAATAGTTAATAATGACCACCACCCCTATTATTGAAAATATGTAAACAGCGAAAATTCCAGACCCTGCTAAATCAGAATTTAATGTGTTGTTTTAATAATTCTAATCAAAAATTTTGTAATCGTTTTATTTTTTAGATGCATGAGTTACTTAAAGCCGAATATTATGATTTCAAATAATCTCTAAAAGTTTGAATGATTTTTTTACACTTTAGTACACTTTGATATTATGTCTATTGAAATTTTTCACCACATATTTTAAGTACAAAACGAATGTCAAAACTTGAGTTTTTAATTTAGTTAACAGACATTTCCGCAGAGGCTATACAGTTAAAGTCTACGGCCTCTGAACAACTTATAGCGCCCATGGCGTTTTTGTGAGATTTTTTAAATTTGACACAGTTAAGTACTACGACTTAGGCTCTGCGCATACATTGAAGTCTTGAACTTCCAGGACCAGCCCCATATGCCTCTGTAAGTGCGACAAAGAGACTATTACGCTCTTGCTTCTCACACGGGCTTATGGCTCTTGGCAGTGGATTCGAGGTCGGACCATGATTTTAAAATAGCCTTCCGAAAGTCCGATTCAATATTTACGGATTATTACAAAAATTATTTCGAAATATTTATGCCAAACTTATATTTTTGAAATACTGATGAATAACTTTATTGTGAGCGTTTTTTTATTTAAAATACGTGATCACATTGTAATTTTTTTTTCTGTCGAAATTCAAAATTTTGTTTCTCTTGTCTACTGTACAACTACTGCAAAAAACATTGTACAGAAGATATGAGCTCTTTTTATGGTAAACAATTTCAAAAGCAGTTATAAAAGTAGCAAACTATAATAGCACCATTCTCATTCACAAGCTCAGTTTGTTTTCCAAATGTGCCATCAGTGATAAATAATTATGCGACTATTTTTTTGTCCTTGGCCTGAAAATGTTATTAAGACAAATAAATTTGAACAATGAATTCACTCAAACGGTTTTATTTGTAAAAAAAAAAAATCGATGTAAGTACACAACTGTAGAGTTAAACTTGATAGTAACAATAAATTTACTTATTTCAAACGAACGAATCAAAATCAATCAACGATATACTTTTTTATGGAGGTACTATCGATTGATCGCAGGTGTTCGTAATTAATTCGTTTTCTGTAATAAGTGTTTTATTCGACCAATCTACGCTTTGGGTTCCGTCAAGGTAAACATATTTGGCACCAAAGTTAGTATAAAAAATTGGTAACAGAAAATAAATCAGAATCGCAGGACCCAATCCACGAAGTATGACACTTTTTACTCGCACGTGACAAGCACTTCTGATTATGGCAATGGATGGAGATCCAAATGACGAAACAAACGAGTATGAGCACATCAGTGCTCCCGGTACCATGTACAGCGGGTTTAAATTCGCAGAAGTGCTCTGTTAAAAATAAAATTATTGTGGGTCATTTATGATTCTTGTAACAATATTAAAACTTTGATTTTAAAAAGACAGCTCTTAATGAAATTACCATACATGAGATATATAACAGCATAATGTTTGCTGTCACGACATCGGGCGTAATATTAGTGACTATACCCACAAAGATAAGCATTGCCGATAAAATGTTGTCCGGCTCCTGGCCATCTAAAGAATCCTTAAAATTTTTTTCTAGAATACTTGACATGCCAGATACTTCCGCTCCATATATTAAAGCGACGCCTGCTCCTAACAAAAACAGCAAACTCCAGGGCATTCTTGTCTCAATTGATTTCCACGTCACAAGACCCTCCGATGATGTTTTTGGCCTTTTGTTTGCTAAAACAACATTTCATTCTCATTTTTTGGGTCAATGCACACTCATTAATTTAGATTTTTTTTAATAAATAGTAGTTTTTACACCTAGTGGCGCATCCCTTCTAAGCTGTTTGTTTGTAATTACATTTGTAACCCCACCTGTAAACACACTTGTAAATACATGTGGAATTCCACTTGGAATAACTTATGAGGTTTTGGTTTAGAGAAGCCATCAGTAATCCCAAATGGTATTACAAGTAACAATTAAATTTGATTTTTTTTTATCGGCAAAAAAGTTAAAAAAAAAAAACAATTTCATGCAGTGTCATACGCATGGTAACCCTACGACGTATATTATTCCATAAGTAATTCCAAATGTATTTACATGTGTGTTTACAGGTGGAGTTACAAATGTAATTACAAAAAACTGCTCAGAAAGGATGTCTACCAGATATAACTACCCTAGGGTCGACTTTCCTACGATGGGCATTTTTGAGCGACTGCTGTGCCCTCAGTGGAAAAAATATTGTACATACGTCATTCATGTGCATCCGATCAGGGCCGTCCCAACGGCACCTCGGGTATTAATTCACAAGCGCCTTTGGACCTATATAGGGGTCACCTTGAGGAGATGCTCATTTGAGACAAAAAATACTTATTTCTTACCACGGGCGCAGCAAACGTTCTGGGGTCATACTTTATATAAACGACCAAGGTAGAAAAAATTGCACGTCGTAGGTGCGCGCGCGTATGTTTAGGGCAGTGTACTTTTTTAAGTCGACAAATAAATGCAAACTTACAATCATTAGTCCAGACGTATAGAAAATCGAGATCCTTGGGAATGAGGAACATTAGAAGAGATACGAATAAGATCGACGCCGACTCTGGAATTTGTCTATTTGCAAAAGAGTTATATTGATATTTGACTTGGTCCGCCTTATAACTACTGCATAAATAAATAAACTTACTCTCCTGGCAAGATACTGGCCCATCCAGGCATGAATCCGGGCTCGCGTGTGACCAACAAAATGATGAAGAGAACAAACATAATGGCAACGCCCAATTCGTCAGTGGTCATCTTTCCCAGCTCAGCATACTTTTCTCCCATAACCTGCGCGTTCATGTTTTTGATATTGTTAGTCGCCAAAAACAGATAACCGATAGGAATCTGATCTAAATGTAAATCAAACAGATAACTAACCTTTTTCATGGCGTTTCTATTTTGGCCTATGATACCAGTGTTTTGGCTGCTCTGACTATTATGTTGATTAAGTTGGCGACTCATGAAAAAGAACGTGATAATGACTGTCATCACGACAATGACTAATGTGAAGGGAACCGCAAACATCATCCACTGCCAAAATCCAATTTTTGGGCCGCACACAAATATTTTTTCGAAAATACCCTTGAAGGCGAGGTTCGAGGGTGAACCGACGAGAGTCGAAGAACCGCCCAACATCGCCGCGTACGCCGTTCCCATGAGGTATGTCGTTGTCAAATCGGTTGGTATAGGCTGGCTGCAATGCGTACGAAGACAAAGTTGTAATAAAATTGATAAGTTTTTAGTGCTAAATACATCGTACACATATCTCTATAATCTGAAAAAAACGAATTTGCAATTTTAATTGTATTACCCGTTTGGATTTTCAAGATTTTCGGTGTTGATGAACACCCGCCCAATCCCCTCCTGTGCGAATAGAAAAAAACCTTATTGAATTTCATAAAAAGGCAAACACAGAATATGTTACTCTCATGTTCACACATCGTGGCAGTAACATATTCCAAAAAACGTGTTAGCGCAAATTAAAAAAAATACTCTTTCTAGTCCGCCCAACACGGCCAAGACGATGGGCACCATCATGGAAGTGGCCGCGGTGCTGGTGATCCACATTGATAGGAAATAAGTGACCAGAATAACCCCACTGAGCAGAGAGTAGTGGTTGTAGCTGAAGACCTGTATGACCTTGAGGGCAATGCGCATGTGGAGGTTACTGTCCTCGATGGCGGTGGCAAGAATAAAACCACCGATGAGGATCATTGTCGCGTCGTTTATGTAACACGCGCCGGTATCTCTGATGCTTAGTATGCCGAGGCACGGGAACAGCAGTAAAGGCAAAAGGGACGTCATCCCCAATGGCAGGCACTGCGTCACCCAGTACCCGGCCATCAAGTTGAACACGTAATAGCATTTTGATACCTTTAAAATGTTTAGAAGTTCATAATGTATTTATATGCAGCAGGCAATTGCCTAGATATACACACGCATATAGTTATAAATTTTAAAATGTTATTTAAAATTTAATGATTCGAGCTATCTGTTCAGTTATAGATTTGTTTATTTAGTACATTACCAGGGAGTTGTTTCCCAAAAACAACGATGAAAGTAGGAGATTCCAAGTAATCGTAAAGATAATTTTCCAGTAAAGTTTGAAAAAGTATTTAAACTTCCACCAAGCAGTTTTTTCACTGTCATCCGATCTAAAAAAATGCCAAAAAATATCATAAATGATTCGGTAACCTCACTTGAACAAACATTGTAAGCTGATGGAACTTAGCTTACGCCATTGTCAAAAGATTTACGTAGATTACTCTCAAAGTATGTTATATTTTTTATCGTTGTTTACAAAGTATTTTCTATGTCCGCACGAAATTATTTTTTTGCAAATATTTATTCGACAATACTATTATTGGTTATATACAAAAATTCATACTGAATGCGTACGTCGCAAATGATAATTGAATATATAACTAACAAATAACAATTGACAAATTTAATAATTTTTATCATTTATTATTCTTTTTTTTTTTTTTTTTTTTTTTTTCAATGACTACAAACACATATCGACATACTGTAAAATTAAACTACTAAAATTCTAAAACCAGGCAAAGATGAGATTATCTGATCTATATTAAATGATTTAATTTTCTCTTTTGAAAGTTATATTTCATTATCGTTATTTAGGTTAAAAGACATCAGTATTTGATTAGTTAGCGACAGGTAAAACATCGTATGAAATAATTTTGTGAACTATATTGGACAACTAATTACCTCAAGCTTGTATTTACTTTGCAAATTTTTATTACGAAATACGTACCTAGTGGCACATTAAATGCTAAAAGAGGAAAAAAATTATAGGAACAAGAACCAGGCGAGGAAAAAACATAATTTCCAATTGTTCAACAGAACTATCTTAAACATTTTTTTTTGATAAGTAGCCGATCCTTACTGACAAGAGATATTTAAGAAAATGGATCATCATTTGAATTTGTCAATCTTTCGAGCTAAGCCTACGTTACTCACGGACAGTTGTTATCATAACAAAGTATTGTAAAATTTATTTACATTTTTCGCACACTTGTTTTATTGATAACAAATAATTTGTGCACACGTTTACATAATTTTACTTGATTAAATACAGCAGATATATTTTTTAGAAGAAAATGAATCAAAATTAGTCATTACATACTATGGATCAGTTCTGCTTAATTGGTCACAGGTTGTAGTACTTAAATGACTTTCCGTAATGAAGTTCTTATTTGACCAGAATAATCGTTGGATGCCTTTATGATAAACGTAGTCGCTACCAAACAGTACGTACAGATTTGGTAACAGCATGTAGCTGATAATAGCGGGACCCAATCCACGAAGTATGAGACTTTTAACTGTAGCGCGACCAGCATTTCTAATTACAGCAAGAGGTGGAGATCCAAATGACGAAAAAAACGAGTATGAGCACATCAGTGCCCCCGTTACCATGAAAGATAGAGGGTTTACACTCGTAAAAGTGCTCTGTGGAAAGAAAATTTACAATAATATTTAAGTGATTAATCTTACATACAGTTTCAAAACACTAACTTTACATTAGTAATAATATTTAAGTATATAGTAAGTAATATTTCACAAATACCTATTACATGGTTTTTTACGTATCCTAAAGTCCCTACCTCTACCATCTTATCCATTTTTTCCCTAATTTTTCTCCCGTTTCCGTAAGTATACACAAACCTTTCGTAAAGATCTTTAGTGCAAAGTTCTGCTTATAGATGACTCAGTCATTCATATATCCTATTTTATACAGGTATTGTATTTACGGGGTACAGTTCACTTTTAGCACACTTCAGCCGTTATCATGTTTAATAAAAAAATCTGTTTCTTTAACCATCTAACTCGCTGTATCCACATTTTTTTTAAAACTGATAGTGACTTTACCGATGAGCTAGCTAGGTGTTGGTTTGGTTTCCCTCGGAAAAACCCCCAGATATCAACCACTATACGTTTTAAAAATTGAATAAGTGACGGTTTCACTGTATCTAGGGTGTTCAGTCCATGAAAAAAAGCTTCATCAAAAAAACTAAGATATATTTCAACTGGATTCGAACACATGGCCCACTGAATTTTCCTGGCTAGGAGAACCAGACCAGCCATAGAAGCTCTATATAATAACATTACCGTAAGTATATTAAGCATGAAAAATTATAACAAAATTTATACCACAGAAGCGAGAAAGGGCAGCACAATGTTTGCGGTCACTACGTCGGGTGTGATGTTCGTGACTACACCCACGATAGCAAGAACTTCGTATAATAAAAGAGACCAGTTCTCATCGCCCAATAGAGGTTCTATAGCATCATCAAGATTTCTTGCTAGAAAAGATTTTGCCATGCCATCTGAAACAGCGACGCCTGCTCCCAATAAAAACATCAAACTCCAGGGCATTCTTGTCTCAATTGATTTTAAAGTCACCAGACCCTCCGATGATGTTTTGGGCCTTTTATTTGCTGAATTGATATATTTCTATTTTATTTTCTGGTTCACGAGTCCTCATAAATTTTCATATTTTTTGACAAAAGCCATTTTTATTTGGCTTAGAAATTTTGTGTTATGTTAAGTGTATGCATGCGAAGCAGTGCACTGTTACATCTTCGTTAAATAGTCACTATACTCACGATCATTAGCCCAAACATAAAGAAAATCGAGATCCTTGGGGGTGAGAAACATCAAAACAGATACTAGTAATATTGGAGCTGAGTATGGGATTTCTCTGTTTACAAAAAGTAAAAGATGTATTAGCCGATGTAAGATACTGAATTTTTTTTTTTTTTTTTTTTTGGAGAAACGTATGGAAATACGTATTTAAAAAACTCACTTTCCTGGCAAGATACTGGTCCATCCAGGCATGAATCCGGGCTCGCGTGTGACCAACAATATGACGAAGAGAACAAACATAATGACAACGCCCAACTCGTGACTGGTCATCTTTCCCAGACTATCGCTCTTTGCTTTCATAACCTGCGCGAACGCATTTTTAAATTTTAACTAAAAGTTGAAAATAAGTAATCAAGAGGCATCTGATCTAAATGTAAATGAAATAGGTGAATAACCCGTTTTATGACGTTTCTAATTTGGCCCTTCATCGCCGTGTAACTCTGGGCGTTTTGGTCATTCGTTGGTAGTGTGGCGAAGAACAAGAAACTGACCACATATATCCAAGTGAAACAGAGATTGAGGAGTGACAAGGGAACCGCAAACATCATCCACTGCCCAAACCCGATTTTTGGGCCGCACAAAAAGATTTTTTCGAAAATACCCTTGAAGGCGAGGTTCGAGGGTGAACCGACGAGAGTCGAAGAACCGCCAAATATCGCCGCGTATGCCGTTCCCATGAGGTACGTCGTTGTCAATTTTGATGGTTTTGGTTGGCTGTAACGCATACGAAGACAAAATTGTGTTAAAATTGATTATATAGCATTGCGCATATAGCATTTCATCTTGAAAAAGTCTAATAATATCCAATGTCAATAATTTCCTCACCTGTTTGGATTGCCGAGGCTTTCGGTGTTGACAAACACGTTCCCAAGTCCCTCCTGTTTGAAAAGAGAAGCAAAAAATGACACACATTTCGGATACCAAAGAATAACCAGTCACACGTACCCTTTCGAGTTCACCCAACACGTCAAAAATAATGGGCATCATCATAAAAGTGGCCGCGGTGCTGGTGATCCACATGGACAGGAGAAAAGTGACCAGAATTACCCCACTGAGCAGAGAGTAGTGGTTGTAGCTGAAGACCTGTATGACCTTGAGGGCAATGCGCATGTGGAGGTTACTGTCCTCGATGGCGGTGGCAAGAATGAAACCACCGATGAGGATCATTGTCGCGTCGTTTATGTAACACGCGCCGGTATCTCTGATGCTTAGTATGCCGAGGCACGGGAACAGCAGTAAAGGCAAAAGGGACGTCATCCCCAATGGCAGGCACTGCGTCACCCAGTACCCGACCATCAACAGCACCACATAACCACACCGTGATTCCTGTTAAAATAAACAAAGTTGCACAATTTGTTAAATGCTTTAGGTACATACTACATGCACATAATTATTCACTTAAGATGTTCTTATAGTGTGGTTATAGTTGATTATTTATTAGTTTTGTTCTTTTGACTTTATATGCCATACAACAGTTAAACTGTCATGTCATGATTAGAAGGAATAATTTTAACAAAAGTTAAGTATTCTATTGAATATTCGAAAGTTGAGTATATTACCTGGGAGTTATCGTATACAATAAAGAGAAATAGAAGTATCAGGGGCCAAACAATCATCAGTAAAATTTTCCAGTAAAGTTTGATAAAGTAGCGAAACTTCCACATCGTAGATTCGTCGTTGTTTGCCAGCCTAATAAATCCAAAAAAATATCACAAAATATTTGATAAACTGATTAAAAATAAAATATTTAACTGATGAAACTTTGCATACATCATTGCTAAGTAATGTGTATTGATCACTCTTTGAATTATATGTTGTTTCGTTGAAGTTAATTTAAAATATTTTATTTAAAGTTTATCAAAATTAGTTTACTGTAAATAATTATCTGACAATACTTTTTTTGTCTGTTCATAAAAATGCGTACCGAATGCATTCGTAGATAAAATGCAAATGTCAGACTAAAACATAACTTACAAATAAAAATTGATAAATGCATATCCGTGTTTTTTTTTTTTTTTTTTTCATCAAACTAATGACGCTGTATGCTTTATGCTGTAATACTTAGTACATTACGCACCTAGTGAGCGAGGTTAAGAATGTCGCAGATTTCACATGAATGAACGGTTAATGTGAAATCTAGGGCATTTCTGAACCTCCAAACGTGGTGCGTATATATTTTATTTTCTTTTACGGAGCACCAGTGACGTAAAAAATATTTATTTGAAGAGCACGTTTTTACTCATAATTGTGGTTTAGGTAAGGAGTCAACAGAATTTAATTTCATCTTCGTGATAGGGAACCACTTTATTACCTTACTAAATAAAGGGATTTCACTATAAAGCTGCGATATTCAATGAAGCTTATGTTTAAAAACGAAATATTGAATTAATTCGAGTCGAAACTATTTATTCTTTACCTAACTAACTTTTTCTAACTAGACTAGACAATTCAATGGGTGATCGAAGTAATCCAGCATTGTTTCATTCATGACACTTAACTTACCCACTGGAATATTCTTCAAATCAGTTGGAATCTTGGAAGTAAAATGCGAAGTATTTTGTTTTCATTCAACGTTTTATTTATCACATAATTATTCAACATTTTTTTTTGGAAATGTTATTTAAATTACGTATTATTTATTAAGAGAAAAATAAGGTATACTATGAAACACATCCGCATTGAGTTCAATTGATTTTTTTGATAATATAAACCATTAAAGACCGTTGTCAGAAATGCTTACAATAAAAATTACATACCTTTTAATATTGGTTATAATGCGGTTACAGGATTACAAAGCTTTTGAATAATTTGCCAAAGAAGTAATCATTTTATTATCAGGTAGATTATATTCCCTTCAATTTTTGTTTGTATAAATTATTCCAAAAAAATTCGTTTGAAAATAAGACGTATAGTTTTGTATTGAACTAATACCTGTATTTCTTAAAAAAAAAAAAAAAAAAAAAAAAAAAAAAAAAAAAACCATTTTATACGTACTCAATATTGTTAATATAATCCAATCGTAAAATTATTCGTAAGCATCATCGTTGGACACCCATTGGTAATTATTAAAACGTCTGGAACCACAATTGGTGATGATAATTTTTTTTTGTACCAGGTCCGTATAATGATTATTTACTGAATCAATAAGAATGACCGTTTTCTGTAAATCAGTATTTCTATTTAATTGACTTAATTAAAGACATTTATATCTCATAAAAGGATCAATAATTAAAGCCTTACCATTCCTTTAACGACTTTTCCAATTACAATATTTTTTCTATCTATTTTAGGTAGTTTTTTCAAAGAGATAATGAATTCGTAGTCATAATCTCTAAACGACTTCATTGGAGTGGACATCCAACCAGCGCCATAATGAATTAAACTTTTCATTTTCACGGAACTTGGCTTTATTGCTTGATTTGACACGGTACTGTTATCAAACTCTATGACTGTATCACCTAAAACATTCATGCTAAAGTAATAGTTTTTGTTACAGAAGCGCTTTCGTCCACTGGGGCTATTTTTCGACCGAAGGGTAGCCCCTGTTGGATGGCGCTTATGTGCCGAGCCCTATTTTTTAATGTATCCTTTGAAATGGTAGTTTCCGTAACTGGTGGTGTATGTGACCAGGAAAAGCACCAGGACACTCTGTGTGCTTGCCTTGGTTTGATGCGCTCCCAGTGCGAACTATTTTTTTTCGAAGTACGGAAACTACTATTTTCTCACATGATCTAACATTTTATGAGTACTTACGTTTTTTCTCGGCTACATCTTGTACTGGTATAAAATGCTCGATCATTTCATCCTTGTAAAAATAATTTGTTGATCCCTCTGAAAATTTAATATAATATTTGTTTTATGTTACTGCGTCATGCAAAAAAATGAACAAATTCTACACACCATTTTCTTATAAATTCCATTTTTATGTGACTCCTCTACAAGGTTGAATGTTAAATTGGCGTTTTCTTAACATTTAATGTCTCAATAACGGTGTTGTGAAACAGTCTCAAATTTCACATATGACTTTCTAGCATTATTACCAACATCCTCTTGAAATGTCAGGAAGATCCTACAGAAAATTGTAATAAATGTTCTTAAAATATATTAGTATACTCTACATAAGAGTATACTCTTGGTACAAGGTAATCATACTGCTTCGTGGAGAGAAAAGTCCATTTCTCAACGCAGATTTTGAGAAAAATCATATACAACCCACGGGAGAAAACATAGAAAGCCTCATGCCACATAATTATATTGTTAAGGTATACTTTTATTGTATGGTTCTATCTGATTATTTGTTAATAGGAATCCTGTAGGATAATGTTTATTAGATTCTAACCCTTTTAATCATTTTTTGTAGATATGCCATTTTATGTAATAGCATAGGTAGGTACCTCAATTTTACTATTTGTTGCAAATTGATTATTTTATTTTTAGAATTACTTACATCAAATTATGTGTTTTCTAAAAAATGCATTAAAAGCCATTCTTTCACTATAAATAATATTTGTTAGTCATTTAATAATTTCTCGGTAAATACATTTTAACATTGATTTTTCCAAATTCTCAAATGTTTTGCTTATTTCAATAAAATATCGTGGACGTAGGCTATAGTGATCACTTTATTCTGTAGCATCTTCCTTTATCAAAGGTTTTGCATTTTTATATTTTTTGGCACCGCAATCGCTGATGATAATTTTTCTTTGTATACTGTATTTCCGATGTTTGTTCTGATCAATCGTCTTAGCAATAGTCTCAACAATTTTCTGTGGATGTAATTAGAGTCATAATCGGTAAAATTATCTATTAAAAGAAATTTTTGAAACTTTGTGGATTAAAATCTTACTATTCCTCGAATGACTTTTCCAAATGCAACATGAGAAAAATCAAAAAACCAATTTTTTTAAGAGTGACAATGAAATCTTTGTGAGTAGGCATTAGGTCCGTTGATATCCAACCGGCTCCGTAACTCCGTAGCTTTTCTCTTACTGATGAGCCATCAATATTTATTTCTAAAATTTTAACATGCATTGATTGAAAAAAAATTTTTTAATACTTGTACAAGGAAGGTGTATATAATAATTACATAATAATCACTGTCAATGAAGCTCAAACATAAAAAGACGAGGACTAGGATCTTGTCGAGACAAATGTGTGGTCTCTTTGCAAATGTGAACGCAGAACTTTTCGATACAAATTTGAATCATTCAAATGTTTTGTACCAAATAAGAACGAAAAAATAGTCATAACTTTTTTCAGCGGTTGTTCATTGTTGTGTTTTTATTTTTGAGTCATGGTTGTTCCTTGTGTTTAAACGCGATAAATAGTTTCAAGAATTTGGATCACGTGCTTTGCGAATAAAGTTACGGCCAGTATATGTGCTGTTATTTCGCATTTTTCCTTTTTTAAGTGAGCAAACGAATAATTTTACTTTATCTTTGAGTGTCGGGTATCAAAAACTTCATGCAAAAATCGATATTCAACTGAATTCTTCATCAATGCATCAAAGCAGACGCGTTTGGATAAACCTTTCAAGTCCGAGACTACATTGTTTCTTTACAATTAATTTATTGAAACAGAAGAAAAAATTGTGCATATTTTTTTTATGCACTACAGTTAACAGGAAGGAGAAAACATTATTTTCGTAGCTCAAAATGATACAGAAGAGCAACGTGGTAACCAGCAGTGGTCACGTATGGATCCTGCATTCACTTGTGAGTATCGCCGATAGACTGCATCTGCTGTTGGTTATAGGTTTGGATGACATGCACCGATGATGGGAATCTCTAGGAGTAGGTATTATATATTAATTACATATATTTGCGTGTAGATGTAGCTATAGCATATTATAATAAATATTGGACTTTTCATGGCTGTATATTAACTTTTATGCCAATAAAAATACACTATATACTACCATATTGGACTTTGGGTCAAGTTATACCTAAGGGTTTCGTTTTATTACATCTTTGTCTGATAAAAAATACAAAATACGAAACATGATATCAATGAAATAACTGTTGATACTGTGGAAGAAGATGCGTAAAGTCATCGCTTCTACGTGAGCTAATCTAAGTTTCGTGGCAGTGTGTGGGTACAACGGATGTTTCGAATGAAAAGGTTGTAATATGGCTTACATTATTCAAAATTCAATACTCGTGAAATTGATCGACACAATTTTATTTATCGTGAACAATACTTTTACTTTTGTTAATTTGATTATAAAAATTGATATCTAAAGCTCATTTACTTCACAAGTCGCACTTTACTACTTTTGGCACGACAACAATTTCAAAAAGGACATGTTATTATAGCGCTACACTGTTTCGTTTCATCGCATTGTATTGGAGCAGAGAAAAAAGTTTCTCACACACAGGCTCAGAAGACTATTATACAAAATGTGTAGAATAATAAAATATCCGAGTAAAGTTGAATAGCTGCGAAAACGACCTCATCTGGGTTGATCCGTGTGCTCTTGTTTCCCGTGATCGCTTGCCCAATAAAGAACATCGTCTGAAATTATGTAGCAACATTTGGTATTTATTGAAAAAAAACTTGTGTTATAATAACGTGGATTTCAAAGAAACAAAAATAACTCTGACGTTCATTACCGAAAATATGTAAATAATGAAATCGCCGAGGCATAAAATGTGCCACATGTTTGCTTTATTTGGTATAGCTTTAATGGCCACAAATTCGATTATTTTCAATAGTCCAACCAAAGAAATCATGAGTAACCAACAATCGTACTTTGTCGCATCAGACTGAAAGATAT